TCAACTCCATAAAAGTTAAAGAGGAAGTTAAGGAGGACTTGTATACACTTTCTTATTCATATAGGAGGGGATATAGTAGTAACCCTATTTTATTTAAACTTACTTATAATATAATAGAATCGTTAAGAAAGCTATATGTCAAGTTTCAAGTCTATAGACCCCCCATAGTACCCTCCAGAAGAGTATCCACATTTAACTTTCTCTAAAGACATTTATTTAATTCCACTGTCTCCATTTCTTTTCCGTTTAGTTAGTGTTACTGCTTCCGTTTCCTGTCTTTTCCATTTTTTTTCGGTTTTTTTTTGGGTTAGTTGGCTGGTTTTCCGCTTCTCGTTTCGGTTTTCAACTTAATTAAGAAATCCAATTAACATCATTGACATTAGATGTCCTAGAATATGCGCAATTTGTTTTGTTTTTTTTCAGCTATATTCGGCTATATTTTGGCTTTTCCGAAGCACATGGCCGGCCTGCTGGAAAAACACACAAACCTACTCACGCATCTGCCGGAAAAATAGATTTTATTTTCCGTTTCTTGGGTTTGGGAGTTGGGAGTTGGAGGGTTTACTTATTCCTTCTATAGAGTGTCTCTTTCTCTCTCTCTCTTATTGTTGTTGTTGTTGTTTTTGCATATGTGGACAGGACTTGTTAGGGACTTGGGAGGGCTATATCCTTTTTGCCACCCACTTTGGGGCACCCCACACCCTTTGCTGCCTTTTGCTGACAAGTAGGCGTTGATGTTGATGTTGACGTTGGTCTCGTGTGTGCTCTGGTATGTGTGTATGTTGGTGTGTTGGTGTGTTGGCCCCGCCCCCTTTTGTATCCTGCCACCCCCACTCATTGCGTGTGGCCCCAAAAAAAAAATTGTGCGTGTGTGTTTGTGCGGCTTTTTCGGCCAACCAGCCAACAACAACAAAAAAAATGTAAAGAAGGTGGGAGGCCAGAAGGGGTGTGGCACTAAAGGGAGGAGGGGGGAGGGGTGCCTTGCCGTGGCACGCAACAAACAAGCGATAACAAACAATTGCGGCAACGACATTCGGATACTCCTCTCCTCCTGGCGCTTTGTCCTGATTTCGTCCTGGCATGTGGGGTAAATGTTTTTATGGTAAACGTTGTACTGGGCATCGCGGTTTAGGCCATGATGTTTGGGTTTCGGCCCAGTTTTGCTTATTTGAATAAGAAAGTCACTTTCGGGTATTTAGTTAGGAATTAAATATATATTTTATTCTAAAGACTATGAGTACCGGGTATCATTACACTATTATAGCATACTTATTAGGGCACTTAACCTCACTACTTGAAGACTCTAGCTTCTAAAATCCTTAAACCCTCTCAAATCTGTGTAATTCTCTACACAAAATGGTTAAAATCCTTTGGAAAATCCTTCAGAGACTTGAGAAGCTTCTGATGGCTGGCTGACTGGCTGGCTGGCTGGCTGCTGGGATGGCCAAAGGAAAAAGCATGCTTTTAGCCAGATTTGCCATTTCACTCAATTATGACAACACTCTGGTCCTTGTTAAGGAGTTGTGTGGCATCCCATCTACACGGCACTGGGTCAAAGGGCATTCCACTCGCCCATGAATTTGTCAAATTATCCACATGATCGCCTCATGCCTTGTATCTCTGAGCCGTGGTGTGTTGCTGTACTATTTTGGCAAGAGGACTAGTCAGGAAATCCCTGTCAAGCCAGTCGGTTTTAGCCTTGTCTATGGCTTTGGCTTTGGCTTTGGCTCATCTCCCTCTCTTAGTTGGCTTAGACAGTGGGACAAGTAACACAACTGCAAACAGAGTGAGCGACACAGGAGGAGCCACATTCTGGCAAATCTACTTAGCATAAACCAATTCACACACACACACAGACAGAGTGGCAAACACACACACAGATACAGCCCTCATTTAGGGGGAGTGGCCGGAGAAACTGACAAACTGCGAAAGCCAAAAACTGATTATGACTTCCCCCATTTGAAAACGACAGCATTCTGCACTTGCAAATAGACATACATTAGCCAGGGGCGTAAGCCAAGGGGGGGCCTAAAGGGGTATACTTAAAAAAAAAAAATAATTATAATAGTCTCTTATTAGAAATATTTAATAATATGTATCACCCCTTTTTTTTTTTTGTTAAATAAATACCATCTAAGCCCCTGGGACAAGCACACATGTCCTGTCCTCTCTAATAGAAGAAGCTATTCGAGAGATACAAAAGAGCTATTTCAAAGATATCCCGAGACAGGCAGCTAAATGAGAAATAATCGAGCCAAGCCCCGGGGCTGCAATGCCTTTCCGAGTGAAAATTGAGACATTGCAGTGCCAGAGGAGCACAAGAAAGTGGAATTAAAAATTATGCTATGTACTTAGCACGACACCCCCTACCTAGCACCCTCCTCCTGATACTTATATATATATATATATTATATCTTTCCGGGCAAACAAAATGCAAAAAGTGGAGTACAAGTTAAGCCGGAGTCTTGTCACCCAGGCACGTAGCCTTTTTTTCCCATAGAGAGGTATAGAGTCGAGGTGCTTTTATAGGAAAAGTAAAGATATATAGATGAGTGGGCTGTGGGTGGCTGTGGGCTGTGGGTGGCTGTGAGCTCTTCTTTATAAACAAATATTTGGATTTAGCAACTGAGTGAGCAGTGAGTGTGGGGTGGTGATGGTGGGGGGGAGGAGAAAGACTTTCTCGTAGAAGAAAGCAGCTTAAATTCAGGCAAATAAAATGAAGAAGAACACACAAACGACAAAAAAAAAAAAAGTAGGAGAAAATTTTATTTCCAAACGGAATTTTAGGCAGTCCTTTGGGTGTCTATGTGTGTGTGTCTAGTTTACTACTTTTACTACTTTCTTTCCGCCAGCCAACCACTCTCTCTCTCTCTCTCTCTCTCTCTCTCTTGTGCCCTTTATCTATCTATCTCTCTACTTTCACTGGCACTTTCCCTTTCGGCTTACTTTCTCTGGTCCTGCTTATGCAAAACCGCACCCATATTGAGGGGGAAAAAAAACGAGAGAAAGCAGATTACTTATCTTTTAGTTTTCATTTAAATATGAAGAACAAATTGTGCACACACGCTGCTTTCTCCTCATCCTCCTCCTCCTCCTCTTAGCCAGCTTTCACTTTCTTTTATTTTTGGCAGAGTCTAGAATCCAGATAGAGAGATATAGCAAGTGGATTTCCTCCTTTATCCCAAGCTGCCCTTTCAATTCCACACACACACACACACACCCACATACTGCTCCATTTTTTCCATCCTCTTTCTATTTTTGGTTAGACAAAAATAATTGGATTTACACCGAATCAAGAATCGAGTGGAAAAAAATATATAAACCAGTGGAATATATATAGTACGGGTAGTGTGTGATGTCGTCATAGGATAAGGATGGAAGGCCAGGGGATATGTGTCCTGACAGGATACAAATGCGATGCTGTGGGGACGCATCTCCTCTCAATTGGAGATATTCATAAGTGAAATTTGTTATTCAAATGGAGGAGGAGGAGGAGAGCTTATAAATTGGAGAGTTTCGTTTTTATGGTTTTTGTTTTAAGGAATTTATAAGCAAGTCGACTTTACTTTTAAAACTTAAAAGGAGGTTGGTGGGCTTAGCAATGCTAGGTTTTCGAAAAACATAAAACAAGAAATATAATTAATAAAAATTTAAAAATAAAAAAAAATCAAGTAGCTAACGGAAAGAGCTTGAAGAGATTAGACATCAATCAAGACGATAGATTATAAACAAAATACCAAAATAAAAGCTAGTTTTTTGGAGAACATACGATTATCAGAAAAGGATGATATCTAAGGGCCGAAAATGGATAAGAAATATTTTTTAATATATTTAAAAGAATTTTAAATAAAAATCAAAAGAAACGGAGTTAATCGAAGAGAAAAAGGAAATCTACAAGAATGGATAAGAAATATTTTTTAATATATTTAAAAGAATTTAAAAAAAAAAAAATCAGTTAGCCAACGAAAAGAGCATGAAGAGATTAGACACCAATCACGATGTTATATTATAAAAAAAAACACAAAATAAAAGCTAGTTTTTGGAAAACATACGATTATCAGAAAAAGATGATATCTAAGGGCCGAAAATGGATAAGAAATATTTTTTAATATTTTTAAAATAATTTTAAATAAAAATCAAAAGAAACAGAGTTATTGGAAGAGAAAAAGGAAATCTACAAGAATGGATAAGAAATATTTTTGAATATATTCAAAAGAATTAAAAAAAATAAAAATCAGTTAGCCAACGGAAAGAGCTTGAAGAGATTAGACACCAACTGTCTTAAATTATAAAAAAAAATATATAAGAAAAATAAATAAAATAAGCAAATCAGTGGAACTCGAACAAAGACATCGATTCCCTTTAAGAACCATCTTTTTTGTCTTTATTTTTTATCGCAGACTTAATTTGAAGTAAACAAATAAAGGGAGTATAAAAATCAGACCGAAATAAATAATTCGGAAAAATAAAAACCCAAAATAATGACGAGCTAGATGTGGAGGGTTCGGCTCCACAGCCAGTTGTGATTAATAGCAAATCCTCTCGATACAAGGTAAACTCGATTCAAGGAAAAAAGGCTTTTGGCGTTTGTTAGTTAAGTGGCTTTTTCGCTCTCTTAGTAGACGGTCACACTTGTTTTGCTTAGAGGTGAGAGTTTTTCTAGAGACTTTTTATGGGACAATTGGTAAAGTTTTTAAAGTTTAAATTAGTAGCGGGGATTATTCATTAAACTTAAAGCCCTCTACAAAGGAGGGAGAAAAAAACCAAATAATTGCCTGCTAAAAATTCCAAAAGTACAAGACTAAATAAAAAACCTAAAACCTTTCTAGAAAATGGTAAAGTATACAACTTTTGAATAAAACCACAAACTGCTAGATGGCTTAAGCGCACTAGAGAGCACAATTTAAACACAAAATTACACTTTTTTTAAATTAGAAAAATGATTAATTAAAAACAAGTAAATGCCGCAATTAATAAAGTAAAAAATATATATTTTTTAGCTCCGCAAACCGGCGTCGACACTCTCAATTCCTGGCTCGATGAAAACACCTTCCATTGCGAACCGGGAACAGATCTCATCTGGATGCAACGAAGAAGCGGCCGAGGCACTAGTGGGTATCCACTCAGACTACCCTAGGTATGAAATGTATGTATAGCCCGAACCGATCCGACAGTAGAGTATGTATAGCCCCCCATTATATCCATTATGTCCATTAGCGAACATTCATTAAACCCGCCCTGCCCCAAAGTCAAGTAATTAAACGACTTTCGCCGCGTATGTACCCCAAAATGCAATTCCGAAATGGATTAATGTTTTCATCACTGAGAGAAAATCATGCACCACATTTTGCTTTCTTAAATTTTTGATTTCTTAGCCCTAGATTAGTGATAGTATCCTTAGAGTTGAGTGTAGTAGAATTTGCAAAACATGAACCTTAGTTGGCAAACTGTGGGAAAATCATCGACTGACGGATGGATGGATGGATGGATTAATGTCCTGGGGACAGTAATTAGCTGTCAGTGTCAGGACTGGCAAGCATCGGCCCTCCTCCGGGCAAGATTTGTGATTTCCGAGGGTCCGTCATACCAAAAAAAAAAAAAATCAAATCAAGTCCAGATGTACTGGTTGCTGAATATTCATTGGGGAGTCTGCTGGCAATTCAATTTGAACGATTCGCTCTAAAGTGAATACTCAAAACACTTGGAATATCGGTTCGAATCTCCAACGTCCAGGGACCAGAGTCCATGCCACATAAATCTCTATGAATGTCGTGGCTGGAAAGATATTTTCCTGCAATCACGTTGCCAATTTGGCACAGTTCAGCAGTTTATAGAGAGTGAGTGATGGTAGGAGGGACTTTATGGGAGAATTATATATATGGTATACATATATATATGACTGGGACTGTAAACGAGGACAGGCAGCGGCCAGTTTGTGTTTGTGTTCCCTCTCTGTGTTTCATTTGTCAGCAAAAATTTTTATTGGCATCTTTTGCTCATCCATATGTATAGCCACACACACACACATGGTCTATGGTCTATGCCACATACATACATATATTGGGTGTTTGTGTGGCATCTATAAGATACAAATTGATATGACACATTTAGGAAATCCCCCGGCAAAGCGAAAACACACAAATCTGTCATTCAGGCTGTGAGATTTATTAAGGTGCGGATACGCTTGAGTTGCGTTTACTTTTGAGTTGGGTTTGACTTATATGGCTCCTACTTCTACATAGCACTCCTATGGCTACGAGGACTTGTGCCCCTTTGCCCCCAGCGATCCTGATCCAGGACGAGAGCAAAATCAATCTTAATTACGTGGCAGAGCTGTGGTCTGGCTCGTTACCAGTTGCCTTTTCCTAATTAATTCCGAAAGGCAGTACTACTTGTATTAGTTTGGTTACTTAAATTCCTCAACTAGAAACCTATCATTGTAGTTTCTCCCCCTATAAATAGTACTCTATAAAATATCCAATATTAAACTCTTAGATCCCCAATCTACTATCCAATATTTAGTAACTATATCTTTAAAAAACAAACAAATAGAGGGCTACCCGGTGGAGTAGTTAGTGAGTGTTAGCTATTGGCCCCAAGTATATCATGACTCACGTGTAATTTTTCTTCCAAAAAAAAATATAAAAATCCACCAAATAGGTATATGGAAGAACGTGCCCTTACTGGCGGCAATACGTCCAGGAAGCCCTCAACAAACTCGGCCAAACACAAACCCAATGTGGGCTATCGCCTGGGAAAGAGGAAAGCCCTGTTCGAGAAGCGCAAACGCATCAGCGACTACGCCCTGGTCATGGGAATGTTTGGGATCATCGTGATGGTAATCGAGAACGAGCTGAGCAGTGCCGGTGTCTACACAAAGGTAATTATTGATGCGGCCCTAGTTTTATGGGGTATACATAGCAGTTAAGGGGATGGTACCAGATTGAGGTGAAATATCCAAATACTCCCAAAGGTCAAAAAGAGGACCCCGCAGAAAAATTAAAAAAAACAAGAAAAGAAAGCTAACTTCGGGCGGAGCCGAAGTTTACATACCCTTGCAGTTAAAACCGGATATATATCGCAAACATCGGATATAGTTGGCTGATCCTTATGATTACATCATAATAAAACTAATTAACTAAAATAAAAAATCTAAAAAAGTCCCAAACTTCTATCTTCAAAAATACGAAAGTTGATATTTCTACCAAGTACCATTTCCGATCGTTCAGCTATATGGCAGCTATAGGATATAGTCGGCCGATCCTAATGAAATTTGGTAGGTTGGCTCAACTGGCCAAAAATATAATCTGTACCAAGTTCCAGCTTTCTATCTTTAAAAACACGAAAGTTGGGTCATTTCCGATCGTTCAGTTATATGGCAGCTATAGGATATAGTCAGCCGATCCTTATGAAATTTGGCATGTCGTAATATTTTGCCAAAAATAGCTCTCATGTCAAATTAGAACTCTCTAACTCTAAAAACACCAAAGTTATACCATTTCCGATCAATCAGTTATATGGCAGCTATAGGATATAGCCGTTCCGACTTATATACTGCGTGCAAAGGAAAGAAGGGTGTGTGCAAAGTTTCAAGTCGATAGCTTTAAAACTGAGAGACTAGTTTGCGTAGAAACAGACAGACGGACAGACGGACAGACGGACATGCTCATATCAACTCAGGAGGTGATCCTGATCAAGAATATATATACTTTATAGGGTCGGAGATGTCTCCTTCACTGCGTTGCACACTTTTGGACAAAATTATAATACCCTCTGCAAGGGTATAAAAATGGATCGAAAATTAAGTTCTCATTTGTGGAGAATCGATCTACGAATCTTTTAAGGTACCCCGCTTAAGAATCGGATGGGTATTGGCCGAGATATAGCTTCCAAGGGGTCAAATATCCAAAAATGTGGATTTTGGCATTTTTGAAGGGGACCCCTTGAAAAATTTGAAAAAATCGATCAAAATTTAGTTATATTTGTGAAGAATGAAGTTTGAAATCTTTTTAGGTATTCCACGTGAGAATGGGTTATATATTCATGGATATTTGGACCTTCCAGTTCCCGAATGAACTAAAATGTGAAAAAGCTTCGGCAGCAACCGAAGATCTGTGCTTCCTTGAGCCAGAGGGTACTAATTCGATGATATATCCTACTCTCCATCTACTTGCAGGCATCGTTCTACTCGACAGCGTTAAAAACCTTAATATCTGTTTCGACTGTGATTCTTTTAGGACTTATAGTAGCTTACCATGCTTTGGAAGTGCAGGTGAGAGTGAGTGCAAATTGTATTTTCTCTTCCAGATGTTTTTGATGTTCTTGCTGATGGTCGTCATCGTTTAACTTGATTGTTTAACGTTGCCGTCGTCACCTCGCTCACTCTCACATACCTCCCCAGGACCCCCAGCCCGTTCCCTATATAAAAAGCCAGCCCCAACAACTCCCTTAAAAGAGCTAAGGTCATGCCACCCAGCCCCCCACCCCCAAGTTAACCCTTTGAACCCTCGAGTCATTCATCGCCATTTTGGATTGTTTGTTTGTTTGTTCGTTTGTTAGCTAGTTTGTTTGCTGTTCGCCAAGACAATGTTTCCTCGTGTCCGGTTATGATTTCCCTTAACTATAAATAAATATATATATATTTTTTATATTTGAAATATTTTTCAATTTCGAGCTTAAGTTTCTTTAGTTTTGTGAGTTTATGTTTGTACTGCATTTGGAGTGAGTGAGTAGGATGCATGTTCCATGGAAGTTGGTGTGAAAGAGCAGCGTTTCCGTTTCCGGTTGCGGTTCCATTTCCGTTTCCGTTATCCATTCTCGCTTCATTCCACCATTTCTCTGGACATTTTCTCAACAACATTTGAAATTCATCTGAAAAATATGAAAAAAAAAAAACGAGAAAAGAAGCTGAAACACTGTACATAAAAAGCTAATCATTTTCATTCACTTTTAATCACCTTAATCACTCACACACACACACACAACACTAACACACACACACATACACCCTCACTCTCACACACACACACAGTTTTCACCGAAAGTATTTTTCCATTCTTTCCGAATTTATTGCTTTTTTGAAATATCAGACCAACAATATATTGATTTCCTATCATTTCCATTGACATTGAAAGTATATATGTTATATATACCTGATCTATATATAATACATTCCATAACCAAATCGTTTTCGTACTCGTTTATCTCCAAAATGCGCTTTCAATAAAAAAAAAAAAAAACAGAACCCAACTGCATGTACAGCACTATAATTTATTTCATTTGCTCAACATTTAAACTCTATATATATTTTCCAATATATATTATATATATATACGATCCCCATATATATATATATAGTTTATAAAACTTCCACTTCTACTTCCTCTTCTTCTGATTATTATTGGTTCCGTATTACTTTAATCGTTTCTGTTACAGTACAACCAAACTTTTTATACAATATATCTTCTCACAGACCAAACCAATAAGTTTAGTTAAGACCTGTGTTTAAACTTAATGTTGGCATGAAAGTTAAATATAAAAATTATAGAATATGAGGAAACTCTACCGATTTTTCCGATAATTTCGAAAATCGGTTGAGGATCCTTTGTTGGAAAATAAAAACTAGAAAACTAGAAACTGTAGAGAGCATGGGAGCATATATATGTGCAATATATGTAATTCTATTGATTATACAACATCTAGACAATATCTACTATATATTAGCCATTTGAACTCGAATAAAACAAGCAAAAAAAAAAAGAAAACAAATAACCAAAAACAGATAAATGAAAAATACAAAAAAAAAAATAAACCCCGAAGAGAAGTGGAATCGAATCCTTTCGCTGAACTTTCGCTAGACATCTACAAAGTCCTGTGTTCAGTGATCGATTTTTCGAACTTTCGAATATTTTGGATTGGTAATTGATATATGTATATCCCTCAAATAACGATAAACTCAAAACTCTCACAATGCATCCCTCAGCCATATCCATGTCCATGATTCAGACTCAGATCAGTTCATCGATCACAGCGATCAGTCAGTCAGTCAGTCAGTCAGTCAATCAACCAGTCAATCAGTCAACCAACCAGTCAGCTGATGTATCTATATCCATATAGATACATATGTATTACAGTAACCCCCAACAGAAATACCTCATTCAAATCGTATTCTTCACACAATTTGTTCTCTCTCTATTATTAATAACTCCGACTAAATGTTATCCTCCCCTTTAAAAACAAATTAATTTTCGATGTTTAAAAGTAAAATTTTAATATGTAATTACCTTCCATTATGCTTTGCAGAATTCAGTAAGTAATACTTATTATAATATCTACCATACATACTTCAATATTTGTGAGTAAATCCAAAAAAAAAAACCAAAACAAATAAAACCAAAATCATAATGCATAGTGTTATGTACAAATAAAATAATACCAATACCAAAAAACCAACTCAAATCAAATCAAAAACAGAAACCAACCAAACATGCCTAGAGTAGCTAAAAATTAGATTGTATTTAGACCGGATATATGCCATATATACTTCTGTACTGTATGTATATGTGTGTGTATATATCCTTGTGATAACCAACAAACAAACTGCATACTGAAGCAAACTTCAAATTGATGTTTAGTTGAACCCGTGTCTAGTGTACATAAAATATCCTCCTAGTTGACAATTTCCTTTCTTCAAAAAACCAAACTACTACAGAAACTACAGATACAGATACAGCTACAGCTACAGTTCACCTTAAAATAAAAAGCTTAAACAAAGTTCGAGCAAATGCTTGGCTCAAATGGACAATTGTGGCTTAGCTTGCACCACGAAAACCACCCAAAAAAAATAAAAATAAAAATCACTAAGCGCTAAACCACTACAAGTCCCAGTCCCAGTCCTAGTCCCACCTTGTCTTGAAGTACAGTTAAGCTAACCGATTCAGGAAAGTTATCTCGAACTTATCGATAAAATCGATATAAATCGATATACTTTGAGACTGGTTTTTATTTGGTCTTGGACATTTAATTGAGAATCAATTCTGTAAATCATTTTAGGAATGAGTTTCCAATCGGTTTGCCTAAAAACACACACAACATGCATAGCATAGATGTACATGTGCACACATACATACAAGCATACCCGCATACACATGAGCATTCCCATCGCTAAGTCGATACTGAATAGATTAATCGACATGCAATCGATATCTGTTTCTATCGAAACATCAATTCCATCTCTCACCAAAATTCCAATTAATTAACGAAAAAATAACTGAAACCAGAGAACACAGGACTTTGTAAACTTTGACGGAAATACTAAAATATCTATGTGTTATTGTATGAATGTATAGGTGTAGACTCTAGTTGATCGATAAACGATAATCAATAATCGATGAGCAGCAATCAATCAATCAGTCGGCTTAACCTGCGAATGGCTCATACATGAAACCACAAAGAAACACAAATCAAAATTCAGGTTTTTTGTCCCCGAAATCCCCAAAAACGCCTTTAAAATTCGATATTCTTGCACTCGATTAGATTGTTGTGCGATTGAAAATGCCTTAAATGTTGTGCCAACTTTATATATATATATAACTGTGTATATATATATATATAAACCAATTTAGTTTAGACATATATATATAGATTACAAAATGCACTGCGCTGGAGTTTGCTTTCAGTTCTCAATGTCCCAATATCAGAGAAGGGTTGCGATTAAATTCAGGGGTGATTTTTGGGTGGGTTCTTTGATTTTGAACTTTGGAAAATGATTTGGTTCGATTCCAAATTGATTTGATAAAGCCCAATGGGAATAAAAAACAATAAGGTAAACAACAACTAAGAAACAAGAACGAAATCGAGTGAAATGTGCTAATTACATGTGAACACGCACGCTTCTTTCTAGTAAGTACTGTCACCCATACACTTGCACAATAGCCTACACAGATACCAACACAGATACCTACACAGACACCTACAAGAGCACTATACAGACACACACATACACTCTTGCAAAAGTGATTTATAAAAAATGGAATTTTTGAAGAAGCTAGATATACTTGAACTTGGACTCAGGACTCTTGCTTTTACAAGAAACCCCATTAACACACACACATATGTAGGCACACACAGATACACCTCATTGACGTTGTACTTGTCAAATAATTCATGCTCGTATATTTGAGTGTAATTCATTTTTGTTTAGTCGCAAAAAAAAAAAAAAAAAAACAACCAATACCAAATCAATATATCTCCAATTATATTTAATAAATTATATACTCTCTTGTTCTCTTTCTTCTTTTTTTTTTACTTTGATTTCCTCTCTCCAACAATAACTACAAAATGAATATAAATACCCGATACTCTTATTGCATTCAATCGAATATAAATTGTTTTTGGCGCCAAAATAGTTATTCATGATAGATAACTGCGCCGACGATTGGAGGATCGCAATGACATGGCAACGAATTAGTCAAATAGGGTTAGAACTTTTTATATGCGCTATACATCCAATTCCTGGCGAATACTATTTCCAGTGGACGACGAAATTGGCCAATAAGAATAAAACAATTGGCACCGAATTGGTGCCATATGACGTAGCTTTATCATTACCTATGTTCCTTCGATTATATTTAATCTGCCGCGTAATGCTGCTGCATTCAAAACTATTCACAGACGCATCATCACGGAGCATTGGCGCTCTCAATAGGATTAATTTTAACACAAGGTAATCATAGAGTTATTCTATAAGATATAATATATTTTTATCCTATTAATACCTCTTCTTAATACCCCATATTTCAGATTCGTTTTAAAAACTCTAATGACAATATGCCCGGGAACGGTTCTATTGGTCTTCATGGTCTCACTCTGGATCATCGCCTCCTGGACGTTGCGTCAGTGCGAAAGGTAATGGAATCTTATTTATTTATTCTTACAACAACTTCTATATACAATACTTCTTTATATATCTATGAGGATACATCCTAATATAGTATATATATATATATAAAGATTTATTATCTATTATTGATTTTTAATTTATTGTTAAATTATTTTCATTTTCGATTGTACCACTGATTGTTTGGTTTGAATATTGATTTAGTCTTTTGATCTCAATGGTTGATTAATTTTGTGAGATTTTTAGTTTCGTTCAGTTCGTTTCCGTAAGCCGTTGTTTGTTGTGTTTTCGGTTCTGTGTGTATTTTTTATCGACTCTGAATTCCATAATAATATTTCAATGTGTTTGCCACTCTAAATACTTTGACATAACTTTTTTTAAACGTATGTATTTAATATCAATGTATGTATGTACATAAATGTATGTGCTAAGCATTACGTAATGTCTTCTCCAACAACTCAGAAACTCAAAAAAAAAACTCAGAAAACCCCAATAACTCCGACAAGCAAAAAAAAAAATAAAAACCTCCAACTCAAAATGTATTATTAAAGTTATATTTTAAATATTCAATTGGTCTGAAAATCCAAAAGGGGGGTTTGGGGGTGCGGGGGACTTAAGCACACAGCTTACAACTCACAGACACACACCACTACACACACACATGCAGAGACAGAGACCCAGACAGAGACACTGAAATAAATATATAGTATTTTTTGCATTTTGGTTAAAGAATTTACACGTTTGCTGTTCACAATGAAAAAAAAAAGAAATAACCAAATGGAATGCTTCAGTAACAGATGCAATGTATAGTATCTGTATGTGCAAAAGTATCTGTATATCTGGTTCGGTGTCTGTAGCTGCGAACTGTATCTGCAATTGCAACTGTGATGTTGTAGCATCGAAATGCAATTGTCACTGTCACGTAGCAAACGATTGGATAATGGATAATGCCTGCATGTGTTTCAATTTATTTACATTTGGCATTCGGATTCGCTTGTTTCTCCCCCCAAGCCCCACACTCCCCCCACCCAACGCCACCCCCTTTTTCCTTTTTAAACATTTTTCTTGCCTGTTTACCCTCTCTTTTTTTTTGCTCTTTCCCACTGACAGCCAACAATTTATCGATAAACTCGATAAATAACAAAATGGGGTTTTTCAACCAACACACACACACACACTCACGCCCATACACCCATACACCCTGTGCGTAGAATTGGAGAATGATATATATATATATGATATATATTATATATTATTGCATTTTAAACCCCTCTTCCCTCAAAAACATGTATACTTTTTTAAAATTTGAATCTTTGTGTTTTTTATGAACGTTGTATGCTAGATCTATATCTTTCTCTTTCTCTCTCTCTCTCTATCTCTCTCTCTTGTTTTCTCCTACTCCTCTTCAGCAGTTTATTCTTGCTTATTTTTTTAATAACTTACAAAAAAAAAATAAACTATTATTACACAAGTTTTTTTAAAAAGCAGACTATATTGGTGCACAACAAATGATTCTCCATCTCTTTCTCTTGCTACCCCGTTGTATCTAACCATCTCTTTCTCTCCTTCTGGTTCTGATCTGCACTTTTGGCCTTTTGTGACCTATTTCCGTCCCCCTCTCTCGCTATATCTCTTTCTCTCTCTCTCTGTATCTGTTTTTCTCACTCTTCACATGTTCAAGTTTCGATTGTTTTTGAGATTTTTGTTCAAAAACTCGATTATTTTGTTCTCTGATTTCAAAATTTAAAGTTTATATTTTTGAATTCTTGTTGTTGTTGCTGTTTAGTTCTGGGAAACAAAAAAAAAAACGGAAAAACAAAAGAAAATACCAAACGATAAAAAAAAAAGAAACATTTATTAAGCTTCAAAAAATATCGATTGAACTCCGAATGCATTGCTGTAGATCATATACTATATGTATCTAAATAGATCGTATATCTCTGTGTTTATATACCGACAACATCCGATACCTTAATATATTACTAACTTGTTCTGCATAAATCTTAAATATTAAACCCAAAAACAACGAAACGAAACAAAAATACATGAAAATTGCAAATGAAACATAATACCCCGACTGAGAAATAACTTCCATGATCGCATCATTCTTTAGTGACGAAAGCATCCACAAACCACAAACTACTCCACAAGTTGTTGTTGCTGCTGCTGCTGTTGTTGTTGTTGCTGTTGTTGTTATTGTCCTTGTTGTCGCTTCGTGTTTGAAAAATAAAAACCAAAAAAAATCGAAAATTAATACAAAATATCCAAGAAAGACCAAGAACTCCTTGCTTTTGTAGCCCATATAGCCCATATATTCATAAATATATATAAAATAAACTAAATGGAATAACGGACAATTAACGGTACAGCCACAGACAGAGACAGAAGAAGAAGATTTCAAGAAAAGAGACAGCAGCACTTGAAAAGGATTCTAGTCCCTGCTTCAGTAGATTCCCCTCCTTATTATGATATTTTCTATCAACATTTTATAATTAAATATTATTTCTGTTAGGGATGAGTGACATTTATCGATTGCATGTCACATCCTTCGCTCGATTTATTTTTGATTTCGGTTTTCTGATTTGTTTTTCGATTATTTCTGACCCTCGGCCCCAAGCCTAGTGTTGGGGTACACCGATAGTGTAACACGAATATGAAAACCCATTCAAAAATAAATTGAGGAATATAGTAGTAGAGGGACAACAAAAATAAATGATAATAACAAGTACACACAAACACGTATGCGCCATGTTTTCCATTTGTTTCCCCCTTGGATTTGTTATTATTTTTGTCGAAATCCGCATTCCGTAAATTATACTTGTATCTAAATGTTTTTTCGTAGCAATTGGTAGACCAATTTATTGCCTTTTTCATTTACGATCTATCAGCTTAGAAGGGAGCCATCTCCTCCTCCTCCTCCGCTTCCACCATATCTCTCTATATCTCTATCTCTAATATTTTTGCAACCTTTTTGAATTTTATTTAATTTTTTCATAGTTTTCCATGCGTCGCCCCCCTTTACATTTTGTTCATGTGTCTGTGTATCCTTTGGTCTGTATGTGTACTACGTGTGTGTATGTGTATTTGCGTATCGTTGAAGATCCCCGGATATGTATCTTAACCAATCCATGCATGCTCTGTGCTCAGCTCGGGGTTCGAGTCCTTGGGAGTTGTTATGTTCGCATCACATTTCTTTTTTTTTTCTGTTTTCCCGAGGAGTTGAAAAACTAAAAAAAAAAAAAAAGAAAGCAAGAGAAGGAGTGAGGGAAGCTGGGGCTTTGGGGAGAGAAAATATGGAGAGATGGGGAAACATGAGATTTGTACGGATTTATGAGAGCATTTGCCAACACTGAACACTGAACGCAGATACAGGATGCAACAGTGGCGTAGGTCCGGGGGCTTGTAACTTATTTATTTTTTAAAATTTCAAACTAAAAAATTAGGAATTTGCAAGAAGATAGTTTTAAAGCTTAAAAAATTATACTAAGTTTGTTTTTTACACTTTTTTTTGTGTTTTTGAACTATTTTCTTAAAGTTTTTAACAAGTTTTGGAGGAATTATACCTCAAAATTCGCAATATATGTCCTAAAATGATAAAATGGAACCTTAAACCACTTTCAAAATGTCAAATTTCAGAAAAAGTTCAAAAAACTATCAAAATTCCTAAAGATTTAATTAAAAGCTTCGAAAAAGGCTATAAAAAACTTTTAATTTATTAAAATTTATATTCTTTGTTACATTTTCAATATATTTTTCCTTAAAACAAGAGCCCCCCTTCTCCACTACGCCACTGCACATTTCTCACACCGACACATCCATGGACTCTTGGCATTCATTATGATTTTTCCTTTGCAAATTGCTTATCCCCCGGCAAAGCCACACCCCCCAAACACTCCACACGCCCACCGCCCTCCGCCCCCTGCCCAGAATGAAACAAAACAAGGGGGTGGAGAAAAGAGAATAAAGAGGAAGGAAAGAAGAAAGAAAACGGCACCCAACGGAGCTTGGCTGGAAGGCATTCGGTTTTCAACATTCAGCATTTAGTGGCCACCTCTCCAGGGGCTTCAGGTAGAAATCATAAAAGGGGGGTATGCATCCGAAATGGAAGCAGAGGCGGAGGCGGAGGCGAAGGCGGGGCAACTCTCTGATGGGCCATTTCGAACATTTTGCATGTAGTATAGTGTAGAATGAAAGTACACACACCCACACAAATAATAAAAATATAAAGCGAGTGCGTGTGCCAGATCAAGAGTTATTATTTCGAGTTTCCAATCAGAAACAGCAGGAAGCAGGATAAAGGATAACAGATTTTGAGCCAAGGATATGAAAACAAAAGGCAAATAAAGTAACACAAAAGACCAAACAGAAAACAGTAACAGAAAACAGAAACCAAAAGCCGAACGTTTTAAACAAAACTATAATTATCAATTATCCAATATTATTCATGTACTTGTATATTTCGAAATATATATATATATTCGTAACCAATCCGCCTCTCCCCTATTTTTCTGTATCTTTCAATCTACTATCTCTACCTACCTCTACATACCTTAATATCTACTAGGACTTTTCGAAATTCCTCTTATTCTTTCCATAAATATATATATACTTTCATTTTATTTTTTAAGCCCAAAATAAAATAAATGCGATTAGTTTTGTTAAATCTTTGGTTTTCCATTCCGTTGAGTTTGTGTTTCGTTTCTGTAATTTATTCTTCTTTCTTAGTTCTTATGTAAATTTTTAATGGAAATTTTCTTACAAAAAATTAACGTATGTTTACAAAAAATCGAAAAAAAAACAACAAATTTTATGAAAAATTTTTAACAAAAAAATGTTCACATAATTTCACATCTGTTTATTTGTTTACTCCACTTCTCACCCTACTTCTGTATCCACAAATTGCAAAAAAAAAATCTAAAAAAAAAAATATATACAAAAACCAAAACAACAAAAATGTATGAAAAACGAAAATTTTGAAATGAAATATATATATTACAAATGAAATACTGCAACCTGAATATATACGCATACGAAATACGCACAAATCTGCATCTGATAAATACCCTTCGAAATTATGTTATATATATATATCTATATACCGCTAAACAAAACGTAAAACGTAAAAAAAACGGCAATCATAACCTAAAACCAAAACGTATCATAAATGAAACAAATATCCAAAACCTATACAAATTATGAATCAAAAAAAAAAAAGGTTCCACGATGAAGAGCACGCGAATTTGCTTAACTCCATGTGGCTAACGGCCATCACTTTTTTGTGTGTCGGCTATGGCGACATTGTGCCAAACACATACTGTGGACGTGGCATCACTCTCACCTGCGGCATGGTGGTAAGTATTCCCCAAAAAAAAAAAAAATACCAAACAATACCCCCAAAAAAAAATCAGTCAAAATGCCAAGCAAATAAGTCAATAAATTCACAATACTCCATTTATGATACTGCCTGAAAAAAAAAAATATATATTATATATAAAATATTAAAGTACAGTACAGAACAGAACAGTTGCGAAAATTATGTAAATGATAAAGTAATAAAACTACTACAACAACAACAACAAGTACAAAACAACAACCAAAGCATACATCATCATCAACCAACCAAAAAAACCAACCCAGAAAAAATATATAGAAAATAGACAACCAGCAACAACAACAAGCAATTATCATCATGCATATATATGTATATATATATAAAAGTAGAGAAATGAATATGAAAAGTCAAAGCCCAGGACCAGAAACAGAAGAACAAGGCTAAGAATGTAGCAGGAAACGGTGGAGGAGGAGGAGGTAGAGGAGGTGGCGGGGGCCTAAAAAAATGATCCGCCTTTCAGGCGCCCAATATATATCTAGTATCTTATCTGGTAATGGTACCTGCCAATTCTTTCAGTGGCTGAGCAAAAAAAAGCAGAGGCTTTTTAACTTTTACTCAAAAAACTCGAACTCTAGGTCCAGAAACAAAATAAATTAAAAAAAAAATCATAGAAATCATAACTAAAAATAAGAACTATAAGGTTTTAAAGTTTTTAACGTTTAAATAAGAATTTAGTAGGATTTTTAAACACAAAACCCCCTTTAAGTTTTTTTTTGTCTACGCCACTGTCAACTGTCCTCCTGACCCCCTGACTCCTGACCTGTTAGTTTTTGGGTTTTAAGCCCCTCTACCCCTCCCCCCTCGCTTAGGTTGAGCTATAAATTCAAATTCAAATATCCAAAATCCGTTTTGAAGCAGGCTCACACACACACACACACACGTGCACACAAACACCCGAAAACACACACAGAGAACGCCCACACAAAAAATGTAGCATACATTTCAGCGCACATTCATGTATTTATTTCAGTTGCCGTTTTGTCTGCCCAAGTCGTCGCCAAAAAAAAAAAAGAAAAAAAATGTTTTTTGGGGAAAAATGCGAAAAAGCAAACGTCAAACTGTCGGTCCCCCACCTCCCCTCTTATTTTTTTTTTTGTTTCTAGCTATTATTATGCTCATTTTTTTGGTTGTTTCCTGAGCAGGCCGCGATTAGTACATACAACCATGACATCTCCCCCCACCCCGACACACACACACACACTCTCTGGCAATCTGTTGTAAATCATCACCCACCCACCCACACCCAGCATACTTTTGTGTGTCTATGTGTATGTTTCATATAAATATAATATATATATATATATATAATATATACATACATACATATGTATGTATAAAAAACAATAATATTTCCAGCTTTAAAGAGCAGATAAAAACCAAACAGCAGCAGCAGCAGCAGCAACAATGTAACTTTTTCTTTTTGTCTCTCGGCCCGGAAAAGAAACTAACACACATACAACACACACATACATACATATACCTTAAAGAGGAAGCAGCAAGAAAAGTTTTTTGCTTCCTGACCAAAAAAAAAATAAAAACAAAAACAAAATCAAAACAAATCTTTCTTGACAGCTCTCCGGCAAATTCTATTAATGTACATACTTAAATGTCCATGTGTGTGTGTGTGTGTATAAGTGTGCGTGCGAGTGTATGAGTTTATGTGTGTGTGTGTGTGAGTGAGCAGTTGCCATTGAAATTAAATTGAATTGTTTTCCTGCACCCTAGCAAATAAAAGCAAAAAAAAAATAAAACCAAAAACAAAAAAAAGATATGATACACCCACTGCTCACCGCTCACCCAGTTGCTTTTTTGTTGTATTTTTTATGGAAATATGAACATAAGACCCTGGTGTGTACATATATACATATATATTAACGGTTACGTGGCTGTCGAAAAAGCAAAAAAAAATACCAAAAAACCTCCCAAAAAAATACCAAAAATAATTAATCCCAAAAAAACAAATCTTTTTCGACCACTGTATTGTGTGCCTCACTCAAAAGTTTAATCGTCTTTTCAATTTTTCGATTTTCTTGTTCAACTCGAATGCCCATTTCTAATACTCTGTTTCATTTATATTTTTGACTTGAGTTCCATTTTGTTTGTGTTCTGTTTTATATATGTTTTTGCTTTAATATTTGTACAACTATATTTAGTTATTAAATGAATTCTTATGATTTATTTTGAACATTAAGCCAACAATACGATATTTTTCTCTATCTCTCTTTCCCTTTCATTTTTTGAAAAAAAAAACCAAACGCGTGTTATTGACCCAAACAATAAAATCTCGTTAAACCAAAAAATATATATATTTGAAAACGAAAAAACAAAAACATATATATTATTATATATATGATATATATATAAATAAATCGCGTGCTGGAACAGATTTCATGATGAAGAACATGCGAATCTTTTGAATGCAATGTGGCTGATAGCGATAACATTTTTGAGTGTTGGTTTCGGTGATATTGTTCCGAATACGTACTGTGGACGTGGTATCGCTGTCAGTACAGGAATAATGGTGAGTTTTTAACTACAACAACTACAAACAACAAAAAACCAAAACAAAAATTATATATATTATAATTAAACAACAAATTGCACACAAAAAACCATAACCAGAAAATCTAAAAATCAAATTGAAGCAAAAAATTGAAGAGAAACATCATTGTCGACTCAAGACTGTTTTGACAAATGTCACGTGTATATATCTTACATAAATTGCATACGAATGTTACCCGCCCACCACGCCCACTTTACCACAAACGCCCCTCGCCGCTATCTATATATTTATCAACAAAAAAAAAACAACCAACAAAAAGAATCTGTACATACATTTATAATATATATCGAATGTCTAGTTGAATCACCAGCTTTCAACCAACCTCAAGGATACATAGGATATCCCTGCATGTTATTTAGGAGAAAAGAAAGATCATTATTGCAGTCAAGGTTAGATGCAGGTTACAGCCAAAAAATATATATTAATTTCCGCTTCTATGATTCTAATATTTCTAATATACGTATATATTTTTTTAACCAAACTTTGCTTCTGTGTGGCTTACTCTCTCTATCTCTCTGTCTGCCTCCCTCCCTATAACATATATCTTGCTCTTTCTTAAGCTCTCTTTCTATATAATATCTTAACTATATAATCCCACCGATATAATTCGATTTTCAACTGTCCTTTTTGGCCATATCATATATATTTATCATGTCGTAGTAGCCAAAACCAAAACCAATAGATAAAAACTAAAAAAAATATCCTAAAACTTGATTTATGGTTTCGAACTTGTTACCTAAATACCTAGCTAATCGTTTCGTACTTATTCGTGTGTATGTAACTCTGCCAGACACCAAACTCTAACTGTTGTATTACCAAGAAATCTTTAAAAGAATTCCCCCAAAAATTAACTACTTTTTAAAGAACTAAACAAAAAAACTGTTGCGCTGCATTCCAAAAACTCTTGTAATCGAAGGACTCATTCCACTTACTAACTCATGCACTCGTTCATGCATTCAGTCATACCACCCACTTACTTACCCATTATTCGTTCCATTTCCATTCAAAAAATGTCAACTAAATAACAATGTGAATAAAAATTTACAAAAAAAGAAAAAAAAAATGGAAAACTACAAATTTGAAGAAAGTGAAAACATAACCATACAGAAAAGTGTTTTTACAAGTATATCTATCCATTTGAGAGCAACAACAAGTTCTGGACTATAAACAAAACCAAAAAAAAAATCCATTTGAATGCATAAACCCAAAAAAAAGATATTCAAAATAAAAAATTACTAACTGACATTTGAAAAATGCAAGGACATTCAACTACTCTCAAAAGAAAACTAATTCTATGATCTTATAGATCTATCTTTCAATCGATTAACCTCTTCTAGAAAAAAGAATGAATGTCCTTTGGCAATTTTCAATTTATTAAACTCACCCTTAGACCTTAGAGAATTTTTGAGAATTCTCTTGGGTGGAAGCGATATCTCACGATTCTCAACATCGTCGTTGCAGGGCGCTGGATGCACGGCTCTGCTGGTGGCCGTGGTTTCCCGGAAACTGGAGCTGACCCGTGCCGAGAAGCATGTGCACAACTTCATGATGGACACGCAGTTGACCAAAAGGGTATTATACAAAACCGGTTCCAAACAATATAGATACACAACTACACAACCGACTTAACCGACTGAAATGCTATCAAAACAAAACTATAACAAACTATCACATATCTAATTGACTTTGTATACCATTTCTTTCTTGAACCCAAAATTTTTAGCTGAAAAATGCTGCGGCGAATGTCCTTCGTGAAACTTGGCTCATTTACAAACATACAAGACTAGTAAAACGGGTTAATCCCGGCCGTGTAAGAACCCACCAAAGAAAGTTCCTTCTAGCTATATATGCGTGAGTATTTTTAGAGATCTATCAACCAACCAGCCAAACAAAAAAAAAACAAACCAAACCAAACCAACCAATCAAAAAAAATATAACAATTAAAGTCAATAATCGAAACGTGCTAAAGAAATAAAGTGCCAGAGTACCAATCGAATGATAAATACAATAACCTACATACAGTAGTTTCAGACACTCCAAAAAGGGATTATACGAGTTTACCTTTGATCTTGAAAGCTAAACCCAATAATTCCAACTTTTTCGAGTGTAAGCCATCATTAGTCTGACTTTGTAAACTCGTCTCTGTTTTGTTTGTGTTCTGTCTCGTTTTTCGTAAAACTCTAAAAATCAATACTCATCTGTCCACATATATATATCTTTTTATATATAACTCTTTGTACATTTGTATGTTTATTGGATCACAAGATCAAGTAACAAAAACTCAGTCCTGTTCCCGTCCCAGTTTCTCCCCCCGAGCATCTATACTAGAAACTCATTAATGTAATTTGTAGGCAAAGCTTTGGATTACATCCAGAAACTGTATATAATCGTGATACTATATACTAAACAATGATCAAGTACTCGTACTAAACTAAAACAAAAACCTCTAACCGAGAACTGAAAACTAAAAAAAAAAAAACTGCAACCAGAATGATTGAACTCGTTTTACTAGCCTGTAAATAGGTTGTAAAGCCCTGTTTTTACGTTATGCAAAAAAAACCAAAAAAAAAATATATATAATTGAGAATAGCCTCATAACCTAGCATGCTGCGTTAAATATTCTAGAATCTCGTATCTAAAATTATTGCAATATCATCAAGCTTATGCCTCATTTAGCGTTACATATACTAATCCAGAAATACACCCGATTTTGTAACCTGTCTTCTCTTCCACAAATCCTGTGATCGTAGTCTCATCTTCATTAACTTCTTATGGATTAGTCTGGGAAATGGATGGGGGTATTTGGTCCAAAGATATGGTGATACTTTCACGATACGATTTTCTGCAATTTTTAACGCCAATATGGAACATTTTTATTCTTCTACGGCACTAACAATTCTAACACAAAATAATAAATAACTAAATTAACTTTTTCAGTGAATTTTTGCAGCAATGCGTTTTGAAATTTTCCAAAAAATATAATAAAGGATCATGTCACTTTGCTTTTCTACTAAAAATAATATTCCATAGTCTATGCTTGCTTTTAGAAATAAAATAGAATTTTAAAAGCTTTATTAGTTGACAAGATTATGCACTTTGCTTTGAAAAATTCCAAAACGCAATGCATCAAGTGGTCTGTTTTATAAATAAAAAATAAAGAAAAAGAAGAGATATAAAGAAAAAGTTGATAAAATTTACAAAAAAAAAAGAAGAAAAAGAAAACAAAATTGTGTGCAAGTGTCCTAAGCTTAGTGTTTTATGTGTTAGCCGATAAACGATTAACGTTCAACGATGATCGATTATCGATATGTGTTTTTAAAACTGCCCTGAAATAATGTTCTCTCAATGCCAAATGCAGGTTGCGAAAAGTCAAAATGGATCAGCGCAAACTAATGGATAATGCAAACACAATAACTGACATGGCCAAGGTAGCTAGAAAATAATATATGAATAATATCTATAGTCTCTTACTATTGAGCTGGGTGACTGAATATGATTTATTTGTGCATTCACAGACACAAAACACGGTCTACGAGATAATATCGGACATGTCTAGCCGTCAGGATGCCATCGAGGAGCGCCTAACCAATCTGGAGGATAAAATGCAGAGCATACAGGTAGGAAACAACGACAAAGGACCTCAAACAGACAACAGACAATAATAATAAACCTAAACGTCCTTCGTCCTTGTTTTTGTCCATCCGACCACCAGGAGCACATGGAGAGCCTGCCGGACCTATTGTCCCGTTGCTTGACCCAACATCAGGAGCGAATCGAACAGAGGCGCAACTTCTTGCATCCGGACACAGCTGCAGCCCCCATTCAGCAGCCAACCCCTCCCTCGATGTTCAATGCGGCGCCCATGCTTTTCCCTCACTCCAGGTGAGTCCTTTCTTTCGCTTTCTCCACACCATCTCTCTTTGTCTCTCTCTCTGTCTTTCTGTCTGTCTCTGTTTCTGTCTGTCTTTCTGTCTCTCTCGCTCGATCTCTCCATTAACCTCATCCTCATGCCTGTCATTTCGATTTGTTATCGTTTTTTGTCGGGAATTGGCCAAAGCCCCATCCCCTCCCAGCTCCATACCTTCATCCTCTCAATCTCTGTCAGTCCATCTGTCAGTCCATCACTCCATCAGTCCATTTGTCGTAGTTCTTTTGTAAATATATATATTTACTCTGTAGTTTGTCCTTTGCACACTCGAACTCAAAACCTCCAAATTGAAAAAAAGGAAATTATTCAAAAATTAAATGAAAAATATGGGAAATATATACTCCGTCTTCTATGCAAGATTCATATGATTTATAAGAATTGGTTCATCAAAGATTTGTTTCTCTTTTTATCGTTTTTTTGTTGTGAAAAGAAAACAAACCTTTAGAAATTCTTTTGAGAACTACTAGTACCTGTAGGCTTATTTAAAATCTAGTTGTTTAAATCTATAATCTTTAAATCAAAACTATATCAGGGCTTTCAATTTAATCTCTATTCCAACTCTTTTTTCACGGCTTTCTATCATTCGATAAACATTTCAAATCAAAAACTAAACATCAATTTTCATAATCAAACTTAATCAGAAAACCAGAAAAAGAACAATTGATTTAATTTGTTTTAACTTTTCTTTACTTTTAGTTAGTTTTTGTTTTTAAAATTTTTGTTTTAAATCTTTTGTTCATTTTTTGGTTTTTTATTATTTTTTATTTTTTTGTTGATTTGATTTATTTTTTGTGAAAGCTTTGAAACTTTTGATAATGAGAATTAACATACTGCTTTTTGCATAGAAGTGTTCCCTCATCCAATAACGCCGCCGCTACTTACCATTGGCCAACAAGCCCTATTTTGCCACCTATATCTAGTAGAACACCACATTTAGTGCCTGATACTCACATGCCATCAAATGGATCTGCAGTTAATAGCTACGCATCTTCCAACAAATACGGCAGCTGAATATCAGAAAGAGAGCGCTCCACTTCCGTGATTAACATCGAGATGCTAACAATAAGGCCGGTGCCTGATCCCATGAGGGATCCAGCATCCGGTCGTTTCTGGCCAATATCCTCCACATTCTTCACATCATCAACATCAACATCAGCATCAGCAACAGCAACTGCAACTGGAACAACTCCTTCGTCTATGTCAACGCTGAGAAAGCTCGATAGGTTCGCCGTGGCTGAGACAGCGCTGCGACAGCGACTGCCGACGCCATCGTTATCGTTATCGGGACAACAAGGGCCCGGTAATCGGGAAATAATACCAATAATACCCGAAGATTCCGAATCGCTGGCAAACACAAACACCAATACGAACAGTAATAGTTCGCCGGATCAGATACCGGGCTCGATATCAACGCCGGCAATAGCTGCGACCGGCGGAAGCGGAAGTGTTATCGTCAAGTCGATAACCATGCTCGAACCGATGACCATCGACGATCGCAGCGGTGGTGGCGAGACGAGAACGGTGGCGGCGGCCAAGTCGACGGTCGCCTCGAATAAGTTTACTAGGAAAAGAGAACGTGTATGCAATAATAGTAGTAATAGTAATAGTGCTAGTAATAGTCAGAATAGTAATAATAGCGTTAATAGTAATATTAGTAATTCTACAAGTCGAATTTCGAACTCGGCCTTTTGTAAATAAGCCTCTTCGAAATGAGAAAAAAAGTCAAATGTTAGCATTATACACGACAACAGCCACAGCACCAACGTACGCATACTATCTACATGACTGTATGCCTATGTCGTGTGTGGACATATATATATATATAATCCAAACAACAAAAAAAAAAGAAACACACAAAAAGAATATATATATATATATACAAGATGTGTAATTTTTTTTTTCCAAAATTTTAGGCTAAAATCAGAAAACCCAAAAACATATTTGTAATTTTCACCTGTGCTTGCATACTAAAAACAAAAACATTACATAATATAGCAGAGTATGTTTGTGTTTGAGTGTATCTGTGTCTGAGAGAGATCCTGTCTGTGTGTGTACAGTGTGAGGATGTGTTAGTTCATTAAATTACAATTAAAATTAAAACTGAATCGAATTGAAATACAAAACGAATACCAGAAACAGAAAAACTCACAAGAAGAAGCTCACAAAACCCCATAACCATAACCATAGAGAACCTTATACAATTTTAGTAATACCAACCAAAAAATACCAACAAATACTAAGCACTTCCGTTTCCGGTTGCGGTATATTTATGTATATACATCCCAAAACATACCAAACATCTGAAGAACAAAAACCAAACGCATTTGTCTGTCTGTCTTGGAAATATTTAAAGAAATTCTGGAACAACTTGTAAATATGTATCCGTGTGTCTGTGTGTGTTTGTGTGTTTGTGTGGGTGTCTGAACTGTTTATGTGTGAAGAACATACACCGCGAGAAAAGAAATAGGCAGGAGATCCTTTAGATATGAAAACAGAGATGAATATTTCTTATATTCGTTTGTTTTCAAATCTAAGGGCGTTTCTTGCTTTTCTTTCAAAAACATTTCAAAAACAGTCAAGTCTCAAAAACACAACTCATTGAACTAGAAAACAAAAACAGCGAAATCAGTTAGAAAATATTGAAAAACATTGAAAAATTTTAAAGGAAAAGATCAAGAATACCCAAGAGAATGAAAACCAAGAAGAAATAACGATTCTAACTTTAAACAACTACTCTGGCTTTAACTAAACTCTAAAAAAAAAAACCAAAAACCAAAAATAACGAAACAAGTTTGTTGTTGTCTTTTTTTTCTACATATATATATATATATATATATATATATATATACGACGAAAACAAATATACATATATATAGTATAGTATATAGTATAGAGTACTTAGTCTAGTATATATACATATATATTTTCGTTTGTTGTTGTTTTTGCTTTTCTTTTTCTACCAAAACCTATTAAGAACTCAATTAAGAACCTGACTAGCTTTCAATGGGAGTTAAAACTACATACGTGATGATAGAGAAATGGTAGTCGTAATAGAAAATGAAAAAAAACACAACAAATATTAAGAGAAACTAAGCTAGTAAAATCTACATCTAAAGAAGAACAATTTTAATTGAAGATTTTGTAAAATATAAATGGTTATTCACATTATTATACACAAGAAAGAAAACAAAAATAGAGTATGCCACAGAGTATAGAACCGAAAAGTTGAGCAGAAAATAGTGTAGGCATTATAATAGTGCAGAAGTGGCCGAGCTACGTAAAGATTTTCTAAAGATTCTAAAAGGAACATTATATATACATAACATTACTAGAAAGTATTAACTGAGAGCATCGAAGTTAGTTAAAAAAAAAATAGTAAAAAAAAACCTCTAACGCTTTGTTAGATCAATGAATTCCCCATATAGTGCCCCCAATCCTATCCCCTCCCAAAAATCCTCTCCATAGCATCAGAAAAATAATAAGAAAAACCAGAAAAACCAGAACCAGGGCCAGAAAGGATCAAAATATGTGTAATCTATATACTATATATACACTATATAGCCAAGCCAAGTGAACATTTCCTTTGCCCCTTGCACTTCTCCCAGATTCAAGTTCAGATTCGGATTCGGATTAAAATTGTAGATTTTCCCAACTGTCTGATAGATCTAAAAGCTAATGAGAATAAAGGTAAATGAGTTAAAGGAGAAAACCGACAAACTTAAAACCAAAAATGTGTGTATACCTATTTATAATATTGAATATTTAAATTTTGAAAAAGAACGTTCAAGACTGCTGTCAAAATAGCTTTATCACAATAAAGACGACACCGACACAATACGACACCATATTACAGAGATGAGGACAATGACTATGACAGGACACACCAACAGATCAGAAACCATTACCATATATAGAACACACAGATACACACATAGATACACTGATACAAGAAACGAGGTATGAAATGCGCCCAGCTTTAACGTTATGTATTGATGCATATTTGGGTTTCAACTCTATAAAACGAATAATAATAATCTATAACTTAACGATAGACGAATAAAAGCAAAGAATTGGTACAACATCAAATTCCCGTTTGAACTGGTTTCCTAAGACCCACAAAAATATGAAAATATTGAAATATTGAAATACCAAAATCTTAACACAAAACTTTGATATGAGGGACCGAATTTCCAAAAGACAGGTCTTTATTATACAAACAAAAACAAATTTAAACAACAACAACAACAAGCAACAAAGAGAATAAACAAAATTCCTAAAGAGAAAACTGAATTTATAATATGGAAGATTTTTTAGCCGCCTTTGAGCTGGATATCAATTTTTGTATCAAAAATAACAAACAATTTGGTTTTTCGCACAATTGTTTCCTGTCCAACAACAGTGTCTTTGTTTTCCTAGAGATTGTTATATTTTTTTTGTTTCTTATACAATATTATTTATTTTGTTTTGTTAATCAAGATATTCTTTTCCTCAGCGAATCGTAGAGCTCAAGGGGTACTTCGAGAACTTCAAGCTTCAATTCGAATATACAGAAACCCAAAAAAAACAAGCAAAAGATCTTCTAGCCAAACCAGGTCCAAGAAAACAAAACAATGCCAAGGCTTAAAAACTAAACAAAAAAAATAAACTGGAAATTAAAGGCCGAACCAAAAACTAAAAACTAAATACCAACAAAAGCAGCCATCAAAAAGTGAAATAAATTTTGTGGATTTTACACAAAAACTTAAAAGATAGACCCACTCCCCACTCGCCCAACTAGAGGTATGCAAACAAAATATATAAGGTTATATATACAATATCTAGATATATACACACACACTCGAATATATATATACTTATATATATATATATATATATATATATAAATACATGTACAGACGGTCTTAAAGTATATACCAAACCCAGAAGAAACCCAACACTAATAACATCATATTTGACTTTATATGTATTATAGTAATGTATTCAGTAGCTAAATCGAAAGCCGAAGCAAAGACCAATTTATTAACAACAAAACTAAAGAGAAAACCTTAAAAAAAAATTAACAAAAAAATGAAACCAATTATTATGTTAAACTAAACAATAAAGAATAATACATTTAAAAAAGAAAACAAAACGACTAGGAAACGTAGAGAAGCTGGCGAGATGGAGAAACAATTTTTTATTAATAAATAAAGAGAACTAAACAAGAATGCAATGCATAAATTAAACAAAAAAAACACAGAAAATGTCAACTAAATACTAAAGAAAACTTTAACTAAACCTACACTAAAAGTAAACTAAATTTAAAAACGGAAGAAAAGATTTAATTTCTTAAAGAAATAAAGCGTAAAGAAACCAAAAGTAAAAACAAATTCAATGGCTAATGAAATAGTTTATTTTGAATTTACTATATTGTATATTTAAATTTAAAAAGGGGAACCCCAAACCAAACCAAAAACAAAAAATATATTGTTATATCTTATCGAGGAACCGTGTTTTGCAAAAGCTTTAATATTTAGGGTGCCTACATTTGCTAAATTAGTATTTTACGATTTAAAAAAACCCCAAAAAAAAGTAACAAAAAAAACATACGCAAAATAGAAAAACTAAAAGCTTCAAAAACCAACTCAAAAAACAGAAAAAATACCCGAAAAACTTGAAACATGATTCGAAAACAAACTTCAAAAACCCAAACAAAATCGCAAAAAAATCTGAAAAATATTAAGAAAACTAACAGCTAAAGCAAATATTGTATTTGTATTTGAGATATGAATTTTAAGAATGTTTATTAGATTTACGATTTGTTATTTTGTATACATATATATATTATATGTATTATGTATGTAGTATAAAAACTGATCTGATCTGATGACGATTGTAATTGTTTTTTTTTTTTTGCTCATTAAGCATTTACCTCATAAGAATTCCCACTATTTATAGCAAATTTACCATATTACATAAAAATCAATTACTGTACTGTTATAATGTACAACCCCCCAAAAAAAAAGCAGATAATGGGGCAAGAGAATAAAAGTAAAAATAAAAGCGAACAAACCATAACAGAAACATAAGGAAAACACATATAATTGTAAATTATTAATGATGATGAAAAGAACAAGAAAACCAAAAAACAATGATAATTGAAATTTTAACAATAATAAAGGGCTTTGTATGAAAGAAAAACCAAAAGATAAAAACTGAATAAAAATAAAATAAAAGTCAAAAAGATATAAAACGAATGTCTGTGTTTTTATCGGGTGGGTTTTAAATCAAAACAAGGGGTTACCCCATTGCTTTCTTCCTTCCCGGAAAGCCTCTTAAAGCCCCAAGACGGATCTTTCCGAGCTCTTATCTTGGTCATTTCTGAACGGATTTTCAAAAGAGATACCATTTTGCAACCAGGACATGAATATCCTTCTAGATGTGAAAAAATCTTGGTCCTTTCGTTGTTAACAATAATTTATTTATTTCAGCTCTACTTTATCACATTAAAATATAACAAAAAAAAAATGGATGTACATAGATTTATAATTTTTATACATATACATATTTATAAGGATGCGATGTATTCGTTCGAAGGATGTCTTCGCTTTTTTTGATGGCTTCATAGAGGCTGACAATGGCATATAACTAGCAAATGGTTATAGTAATCGTAATCTCTGATATCCCCTCGATATCCCCATACTCTCCCACTCTATTCTTTCATTTTTGCATTAGACTTTGGAATTTAAATATTACTGCCGCAGAAATTGGTTATTTTTCGCCAGAAGAATCCGAGCTTGGAAGACTCTTTCTGGGCGGCTCTTTGGGCGGCCTTTTGGCTTTTGAATATCTGCCATTCGCGCTTCACCTCGGCATTGGCAGGACCCCATTTTTCATTTGGTTTCAGCGAGGCCATAATGGACTATAAAAATTTATTTAAATATCAATTAAATTTTGAATAAGGTACATAAATGTTTAGTTGGAACTCACCGAACAGAAGGATCCTTCTCTGTGGCGGGAAACATACCAGAGACCCCACAACGGGAACTGGGCGGCTCCAATGCCAAACAATAGCCAGCCTGCCACTGAAAATAATAATACATAAATTTATAATGATATTAAGGTGGATTTTTATTTGCCCAAAAACTGATATTTTGATGCAGATTTTAGAGAATATTTTTACTTATTCGCAACCGATTGAAAAACCGGGATACCATTTAGAAATCAGAGATCTATTCTCCTTCAATCTGCATCGAAAGATAGTTCATTTCAAACTAAAAATAAATTTTCAATTTTTTGGGCAAAATTATGATGGTACCCCTTTTGAAAAATTTAAAAAAAGATGGGTCAAAATTTTTATTCGTAGGGTTTGATTGGAAATAATGCTCGAAGTTCTAAGATCGGGAAAGTATAACATTTCAGGATCTGACGACAATTAGCCAAGTTATGCCAGTTTTTCCTTACAAATATTACAAAAAATTGGATCCATATTTTAGATTTTATTTTTTGGAAAAAAATCTGGCATTTTTAATCGGTTTTTTTTTAAATATTTTAATTAATTTACAACCGATTTGAAAAAGGAATACCATTTATGAATCGAAGTTCAAAAATCTAAGACAATACAAATTTTACCAAATTTTTGACCAAAATCATGATGTACCCCTTTCAAAATTTTCAAAAAATCGAGTCAAATTTTTGGTTTCTATGTTTTAATTGGATCTGATAGTACTCAAAAATCCAAGATCGGAAAGGTATGCCATTCGCTGATAGGTCAAGTTTTGGTTGACCATAAGGTTGACCCATAAAGGTTGTGCCCTCAACTTATGACCTTCTCCGAACCTTACTGCCCTTTAATATAAAAACCGGAAATACATTACTTACCATTACCCGCTTCGGGGAAGTAGAGTTCACTGTACTGAATGGGCTCTATGGTGACCATGGAGTAAATAAAGATAACGATCATCATCACGGGAGTGAAGAAGGACCAGCACATGCGCCAGTACAGTGAAACCCGGCGATTGCACATGAACTCGATATCATCGCAGAAGTTTTGTAAGCCTTAAAAATAAAGTTAACATTAGTAAGGCTTCTGTAGGGCTTTTCAATATCCAGTATACCCACCATAGATCCAAACTATGCCAGCCAATTCGAAAATGGCCAAGATGAACACCACATAAGTGCCGCCATAAAAGTCCACAAGGGTCAGGATCCATTGGCCACCCTATGGAGTAGGGTTAGAATAAGGTTAGAACTTGAAAAGATGTCCTTTGAGAAATCCCAACTCACCGGCGTGACATAGACGAGTCCCATGAGGAAACCACATATGGATGTGCCCAGAGCCACCTTCCAGTACCTCAGGCCTTTGAACTGATCACAGATGATGGTGACAATGGTGCTCTGGAGGGCCACAATCGATCCGATTCCCAGGACAAAGAGCATGAAGAAGAACAGAACGGAGAAGAGTTGGGGAACTGCCTGGAACTTGGATATGGCATCCGGATACGAGATGAAGGCCAATCCCGTGCCGCTGCGCACCACATCACGGATGTTCTCGATGTTCAGGTTGTGGGCGAGATTTCCAAGAATCGCAAATATCGTTATGCCCCCAAGGAGACTCGTCAGAGTGTCCAGCGTGGTCACTATCATGGCGTCCCTGTAGATGCCGTGATCGAAACGGTTGTACGAGGCAAACATGATGATCGGACCGGATCCCACAGCCAGCGAGAAGAAGCACTGCACCACCGCATTTTTCCACACCGTCGGATTCAGAAGCTCGCCCCACTGCGGCTCCAGGAAGAAGATGATTCCCTCCCGGGCCCCCTCCAGGGTCACGGCCCGGATGAGCAGGACGATCAGGACCACGTAGGGGAACAGGGCCAGGAAGTAGGCGGCCTTGCCGGAGCTCTTCACTCCGCGCATGATCACCAGGAAGATGACCACCCAGGAGGTGAGCAGGGCCAGGGTCAGTTTCCAGTCGGGGTTACCGATTCCGTCCGAGATGTCCAGCTTCTCCTTGATGACTACGTCTCTGGAAAAGGGAAGAACCCAGTCGTAATCATATATACCACAGAGTCCACACCACTTACAGGAAGTAGATTTCGGAGCTGCTTTGCAACTTGTCCGTCTGGTTGTCGGCCAACAAGCTGACACCCGTGCCGCTGGCGGAGCTGGTGAGGTTACTGGCCAATGTGGAGACGTTGCTGGCGAGTCCGGTTAGCAGGTTTTCCGTATACTCCGCCGGCCGTGAGTCCACACAGTTCAGCCAATCTTCCCGGCAATAGGACCACGGCAGCTCCGATTGGAAGGACACAAAGAGGTAGTACAGGGTCAGGGCCAGAAGCGAGGAGTAGTACGAGATGATGCAAATCGTTCCAAAGGCCTGGCCATAGCCTACACCCACAAAGCCCGGACAAACGGACCAGATTTTAACAGTTCCCTGGCTGGTGAACTGTCCCATAATCATTTCCAGATAGTACATTGGTTTGCCTAAATATAGATTAAATAATTTAAAAATAGATTATAAATATAATAAATACCACTTACCTATTAAAAACAACACTATGATGTAGGGTATCAGAAAGGCACCGCCACCGTTCTCGTAGGCTGTGAAGGGAAACCGCCAGACATTTCCCAAGCCCACTGACACGGAAATACAGGACATTAAAAATTCCAAGCCATTTCCCCAGTTGGACCGCTCCACCTGGGCCTTCTCCTTATCCTCAGATTTCTGTCAAGAGAGATTAAGAAATTTCTTGATCAAATATTTGCAAATATATATTATATATCTGGCCTGCAAGATGCTATCTGTCTCCGATTCGGGGAATATACAATATATATGATCTGCAGTCCGCAAATTCTTGACACATGACTAAATATTTTTCCAAAAACATCAGAGGGTCTTGACATTTTTGTTGGTTAAACATAATATTATTTATATTTTTATGTATACGAGCCTCGCCAATCTTATCACTAGATTAGAATAGCAAATGGCTTTCGCACGTTTTCCCATTTGTAATTTCTATAATTAAATATAATGACCCCCTAGGCCGCTTATTTGAATCTCAGCCAAAAAAACCGCCTTTAAATGCATTGATTGCAGTCATAATGGCCCTTTGTTGTAATTAGTTTAGCGCAAAACGCCAGTTAGTTCTATAAATACAAATTACATATTAAGTATACGCCATGTGGCCGGCGGTCACTTTTTTACTAACCAGATTTACCTAAAGGGCATAACATGAAAAAAAAATTAGATTTATATTATAAACTATCAAATCAAACAGTATTCTAAAAAAAAATAATTACATATCAAGTATACGCCGTGTTGTCATCAATAATTAAGTATACGACGTGTTGCCTTTTAGGCTTAAGGGCATAAAAATTTATTCAAATATGACACAATTGTGCATTTTGTTTAAATAGAATTTATGAGTAATAAAATAATAGAAAGCTTTAATTACATATCAAGTATACGCCGTGTTGCCGATGGTATTTGTGGTTAAAGTAAGGTGGCTTTTGAGCTTCTAAAGAAATAAATTGGAATTGTAAAATATTTCTTCTTGTGTAACAAATTGTTTAACAAAAACTACATTAGTCGTAATATTCGCATGGGACTTTAACAATTGAATTTCATTTAATGACTCACTGGCAGTTCTAACTATTCTAAACTATTCAGAAGGCAACCGTATCTGCCAAATAAACGCATTAATTACTTTGAAATAACAACAAGAGTCGTTATAATAATATATAATTCATTTTTTGTTGTGTAATTTAAAATTTAATGATTGCTATTTGGTAAATTCTATTTGCAGCCAGCTGTTTGAACAGCTTTTCGCTTTAAAGTTGAAACAAAAATTTTGTGTTTTTATCGGCGAAAGAGAGCGTCTGACGGTTTTTTTCCCGTTTTACATTTTTTTTTTCGAATATTGGCCCAGAGAAAAAGCTGTTTCAATAATACTAGTCGGGGGGGAAGAGCTGGGCTGGCAAGTGAAAATGAAAATGCATCGCTGAGAGTACGAGGGTAAATAGAAATAAAAATAAAATTACGAGTATTTGGCCAATAGCTCGTGGGGTGAGACATCTGTTTGCTTATCCGATTAATCTTGGCCAAGAATTTCTAGGAAACTCTTACAACGGGGTTATCTCTGATAGTTAAAAATTTATTATGATTTAACCAGGGGAAGTAAACTTCACTCTCTCGGCAGAGATTATTCATCTTGGCCTTTACAAAAAAAAAAAAAGACCTGGGAATTACCTTAATTGCAGTTTAGGAATAAATTAAAGCTATGCTGACCACAATTTAAAGCAGCTCTGGCTTAAGGTAATGGGAAATCTAGGTTTTTTCCATCCACTCTCAAGGGGAAACCCTCAAGTTACAATCAAATATGGTAAAAAATAAAGAGCATCTGGATTTCAAGGCATGCAAAGGGGAAAACCCTCAAAACTATTACAATAGATGGGCTATTCAAATAAATACTTTATAATGAAATAAAAACAAAAGAGAAAACACGCTCGTAGTCATATGCCATTTTTTCGTTATTTGCTCTAAAAACTGGTTTTGTTTTTGTATCACTTCGATAATGATATACGCATATATAGTATATATATGGCATAGTGCCGGGTCTAGTCTGTCCAAACTGGTAACCTCACTCGGGAATATGGCTGGTAAAAACTTTTAGGGTTTGCGGTAAAAATAACATCTACTATATATTATTGGGCTCTAAATAGATAAATAGAGCTACGCATGTAGCACCAGATGATATACTATTTATGTGGCAAGGAGACCGGCAAGGAGGATCATAAACCTTATAAGATATGCATATAATATCCGCCTGACAAAGTATTTTCCTTACCAAAATCGCATTTTCGTTTGTCGGTCGATTAGACTGCAATTAGCGTCTAACAGCCCATAATGATTATAAAATAAAACCATAAAATATTATATGGCACACTTGGAGAAATTTCCTGATACGGTAAGCGGGAAAATAAAGAACCACTGGGGCGTCCCATGGGGCGTATACTTGACACACTGACTGTCTTTGGGCCATAATCTTACTTTTTTTTTTCGGCCACTCGAGTTTCAAGTACCAATCTCATTAACTGATTTTCCATCATTTTTTTTACTTACTTCCGTGGCATTGTTGTTGTTATGGTTTCCATTGGGTTTGAGTTCCATTTTTTTTTTAAATAATTTGTAGATTTAATTTTATTCAAGTTTTTTTTCTTTCGTTTCAATAGCAATTGTTTAATTAGCACATAGCCCTTGGGCTTAGTAACTGCAGCTCGTTGCGTTTCGTTTTTAATTATCTTTTTGTAATTTTTTTTTTTAACTTAAGTTAACGTTTTTTTTTATTTCTAACTTGGCTTGGTGGTGCGGAAAGCGCGCTTGTGGTGCCGCGAATGCCACGGCTGGAACTGAGAATGCTCGCCGCTCGTTGGGCGCTTTAAGAACCGCCAAAGTACAAGTACTACAAGCAGGTAATAAGCGTGAAATTATTCACACCAACACATACACCATTACTGTACACCTGTACACCAGTCCCCCCGATCAGCGTACACCCGTGTGCGCCCCATGGATCTCCAATACATCTGGGGAAAAACTTTGGTGTCGTGCCTGAAACGATCCGAATGGTTTCTTCGTGCTGCGATCTCTGGAGAAGACCGGCAGCGGTGGTCTTCGGGGGGTTCCAAAAATTCCGAGAACTCCAGAGGGTATGTGCCCACCCACACAACCACCTAACCACCCACCACCCTTTAAGAACCCCCTCCCTCTCAAAAGGCTAAAAACAATTGTTGACAAAAGTACATTAAGAAAAGTTACTTAAAAAAATGTTATAAATGGAAATTCACTAAGGTAAAACTTAGTATTTAAGTGAATTAGGAAATACTTTCTTAAAATAGTTTAATTAGTTTAAAAAAAACTAAGAAAAAGTCCATTACAGACACTGGAAAAATAAATAATGGGAGTTTATTAGAGATCTCTATTCATTTGTAAATACTTCAGGTTTATTCATAAAAAAATGTATTTTATTTGTTAATATACTATTAAATTATTATAATTCAAGCTTTTATCAATATCAAATTTTTTAATTTTAAAATAAACTATAAAAACCTTTAAAAAGATACCAAAGTATCTATCCATTAACCAAACATACACCATACTCTGTTTTCTGTTGTTTGAAAAATAAACAATAAAGTTAAAAACAAAAAATTTTTGTTATCCATTTTCTATTAAATAATAATAACTACTATTTGTTATATAAATTAAAATAGCCAGACTTTACATTTAAGAGCCATATTTTATGGCTTTTTTAAACGAAAGCCATATTAGTTACAAAATCAACAAATAAGCCTGTTGTGTTTCGTAATAAATATCTTAAAATAGTTTCAACCTTCTAATCTCTCACATTTTTGTACAGTGTAATAAAATCCTATCCGAAGATATCTGATAAGATGCCACAAAAACAGATATTGAGATACAAAAAGATAAGCTCTTGTGGATACATAGATTTATCACCCGAAAGATAAATTCGATGCACTGAGAAAAACCTTAGAGGCTAATATCAAGTGAGATACATTTGTTGCTGATTCATTATAGGGAAGTCACACTGTTTGGCGGGGCTACCAAGAAAATACTGGCCTCTAGATAAAAACCGCGAAACGAGCCTGGTCAGAAGGGGACCCTAAATGGTGGTCAGTAAGTAGTCAGGCTCTATAAATACCAGCCCGATAGACGGACTCGCAGACACTGTAAAACAAACATGCAAACGAAAAAATAACCAAAACCACTTTAATTTTACGAGCTTATCCGAAACCACCGACAGTGACTGGTCACTTTCCGATGATATAGATTAGGTTACCCAAGTAGTGACCATCCAAAAAGGCAATGCTCGAGGCTCGAGGCTCGAGGAATACTAGAATTCTAGACATAACCAATTAGGGGAATCGTTGGCCATAAAGTCGAAATGTTGAAAATTTTATTGGGTCCTCTAGGGTCCGTTCGAGCAATCGTTCCCCATCCATAAAAAAAAAAATTGGCAAATCTTTGACTATGACGCAGACTTTACCCTTAATTCGAGACCCCATATATCGTAATCGGTTAATGGATATAATATCTAGATATCAATTAGCGCCAGCCAGCCAGACCATCCACCGATCCAACAATCTAGGCGCTATAATATCGATTCCTTTGATCAATGCGATTTGAATCATAGTTCCCTGAAATCGAAATCTTTATATGTATATATATATGTGTATATATTTGCTACGATTATGGCGGATTGCAAACCATATCGTGGTAGGACGATGACTTCAGGTTTCTTTATCGATCCGGTTAAGAAACCCCGACAATGTCCGGACCCGTGAATGAATTGTAAAACTTACTACATATGTAGGTTCTAGTTTTTATTAGGAATTACCTAATATTATAGTTGGGGTTCCCAAGGCAGTTATAGTATTTCATATAGTCCTTAAATAATAATCCCATCCGAAAAATAAAAAATCAAAAATGTTACTTTTCAATAATGTTTTATTTTAATGTACTTGCATTATATTTAGTTAATAACTAGTTTTTTGTAAATTATTCTCACTTGAATGCGTCTATAAATTAAATCTTATTCGTAACTCTCATGTCTCTCTCAGCATTACTAGATAAGAAAAAAAAAAGATATATATAAAATAAAGTACCACACACACAGGATTGATGATTCTTTCCAAGGAAGGACACTATCCATTAAGTTTAGTTTTAGGCTTTAGTTTCAATATGTGCTCTACATCATGTCTGTTGTGTTTGCTTTACATATCTATATAAAATTAATCAGTTAATCGGTTTATCAACAATAGTACAAGTGACAAATCTACAATGAAGTCGAGAAGAACACCGAGAACGTTGGCGAATACAATTTTGTTTATGACTCTCTCTGTGGCCTAAAAAATAAGCATCTGCATATGTAATTGAATAAATGTAACCAATAACTATAATAATAATAATAATAATAATAATAATAAACATAAGTAAAGTTCCATAGGCTTAAAGTAGTTTTTCTTTTTCTTTTACGCAATTTTCAATTCAATTTCTCGATAGAGGGAGAGACATTAAAAACAAAAACATTCCTTTACACGAATTTGCACTACAGTGGGGTTGTAAAATAACAACAAGATTGAATTACTTTAAATTAGCAAATTAATGTTAATTAATTACACACGAAAGAGCTAAAAACAAACAGGAAAAGTTCTTGGTTGTAATTATTAATAATAATGATAATCAAAGTCATGATAAGAGTAGACCGACCAAGAACTATCAAATCAAATATATATATATATATATATATATATATATATTGTGTATAATCATCACTTGTACGTTACATTAACTAAATCATTAATTAGCCCACTTTTTATGACGATGAGAACAATGACGACTACTGAACTTTCAACTGAATTAATGTTAATATTCTATCCGTTGTCTGCTGATCTAAAATATATATATAAATATATTTTTTTAAATCAAAAATGTTATCTCTTTTCAACAAAAAAATAAATATGTGTAATAACATGATTTTTGGGGGTGTTGGTGAATTATTTCATTGGTGTAGTTGGTGTAATCGTTGTAATATTGTTGGTGTGTGCTTGTTATGTTGTGTTTTGGTTTAGTTGGTGTTGTGCTGTACTTCCTATATATTTTTTTCACGCTAGACACCCATTATTGGTAACTCTATAAGCGATTTGTTAGCATTTTTCTTTTCAAAGTCATTATATGAACATGTTTCCTTGTTTCTTTTTGTTTTTTTTTTATAGAAAGTTTTCATCGAAGGGAAGGCATTTGGAGGTTTCAACCTTGCTTTCTACGCTTTTCTCAACAATTATTGTTTGTTTCTTGTCTTTTACATAATATTAGCTGTCAAAAATTGCATTTGTGTTTTGGATTCTTTTATTTACAATGGACACAAACTTGTATTAGAACTGTTTCCTTCTGACTAACAATGGCACACACGCATATATATATACTATATATATATATATTGAATTTAACGTTTAAATCTGTCTGTTTTTTTAGGCATTTATGGTGGCTTAAGTGCTCTCCATCATCATAATATATCATTCTAGGCGCACTCCTTCGGCTATTGCTTTTCGGTTCGAAGTAATCTTGTACTCGTCACGGTTTAAAAGATTGGACAAAGAGGTATCTGATGATGATAGATATATGTATGTATAAAAATAATGACCGATCAAGAACGCATAGATACAAATCTTCATAATTATGTGTTTACAAATAATAAGACCCTACATAATATATTTACATCGTTATCGCTTAAAAAACGGCAAACAGAACATTTAAAATTTCCAATAGAATTTTTAAAATTTATACTTTGCTTTGCTTCTTCCCATTCTTTTTTTTTTTTTAGCTTTTTTCCTTTTTTGATTCTTCACATCGGATGAACGATTGACTTTAGTTAATTAGGTATATAGTGGGTAAGTGTATGGTTGTTGGTGTGTGTGTGTGTGTATTTTTTGTTGCTTTTTAGGTTTTTTAGAATTTTGTTAATTTTATAAAAAAATCTATTTACACTAGGTATGCCTACTTACAAACTGAGTATGATAATATCTTAAGCGGTTTGTTTGATGGCCCTACCAAAAAGCTAATAATGACTTTACCCCCCAATCCAATCCCCCCCCTAGCTATGATGATGTCCTTTCGATGCAAATCCTGGGCAGTCAACAAACAAACCATTGCCTCACATACATATATGCACGGGGTGTGGGTGAGCGTGTGTGTATGTGTGTGGGTGTTAGTGGGCGATCTTATACATATATGCGTGTGTGTATATCTTCCTTTTTTTTACTTTTTTTTTTTTTAATGTTATGTACGATTCAAGGGCTATCATCTCATTCTTCCTTTTTTTTTGTCTAGGCTCAGTCGCAATATTTTCTTGTGATACAACATAACGATTGTGTGTGTGTGTGTGTGTGTGTGTCTTTGGGGGCCTCTGCGCTGGCTGGATCCATGATCCTTGCTCCACTACGCAATATACGGCTACCGGGGCACAAGACTCAAGCAATGGTAGTTTCATCTCGCAGAGATTGGCTTGATTAACGTTTTTTTTTTTTGCGGTTTCGAGTGTTGTTTGCTGCTTAAGTTTGCTTTTGCGTTTGGGGTCTTGTTTTATATGTATATATATATATATATATATAGATAGTTCTGCTTGATTGCTAGTTGAGTTGTTCACGAAGGCTGTTAGTCACGAATCTCCACCCACTTGGCGAGATTTCGGGCGACCAGTTCCTTATTGATAAAGATTACATTCTGCAAAGAAAGTATTCAAAATTAGAGAAGGTGTTTCCACACAAAAAACAGCTTTGCCGATTAGGCCCCAGACTTCCGGTGGCTCTGTCTCTCTCTATCGAAGTTTATCCTCCGTCCCACTCTAATCGGTGGATCGGAAACATACTCACATTGGGACCTAGGGAAGCGAATAAATAGACTTCTGGTATGTTGTGACTATTATAGCCGGCGACTTGTGCTTGCAAGACAATGCCTTTGGTAAGTTGGTTGAGGATTTCGGCCGCCTCGATGGACCAGGTATCACCTGAAAGACCCGAAATACCATTAAGACCTAATCATAACTGAGAATCCTAGATACTCACCGATCGGCTCAACGTTGGACAGTATACATTCGGTGGCCTGGAAGGGCACGGACATAAAGTCGGCGCGTATCTGGCGCAGAAGACTGAAGCCGACGTTCATGTAGCCGCCAAAGTCAAGGAACCTGACCACGCAGCGCTCCTCGTCCTCGGGATCAACGTCAACGATCTGGACGCGATACCACACTCCGTTGATGGGGATCACGCACACGGCGCTGATCTCAAGGCTGGGCAACGGGGGGGCCTCCATCGTGGAGTAGCTATCGTACAGCTGCTTCTGCAGCATGGGCAGCGATGGGTGCGAGGGGTGGAGCGGGTGCTGGACAAAGAAGTGCGACCCGGACAGAACCGCACTCACCACCACGTCATTGTTGATGCCCTCGATCAGTTTCAGCTGCGGGAGGAGGTTACAAGGTAGTTTCATTTCGTTTTCATTTCGGATTCATATCCTAGACCTGGTCTAGGAGACACAAAAAACATACACCACCGAGACTCAAGGTATGCGCCGACACGACAGGAACAGTGGCCTACATATGGATGCCAAAGGGCACTCATACACAGGACGCACTTAGAGAGCCCCCATATAGCTCTCTCGGTATTGCCCAGTAGGTGGGGAATACTGTTCAAGTTAGAATTGGCCAACTGGGCAACATCATGGACGAAATGCCATGTCGTGTCGGCGTCACCGGCTCGTCATCCCACCACTCACTTGTAGGTTGTTGAGGCTTTCTGTCGAAAGAGGAACTATGGTCTGCGGCAAGGCAAAGTGGATGCGTTGCATCGTAAAGTTTGGATACCGCTTGGAGGGCAGGCGCTGGCGGATCATCGCCAGGGCGGCGTCGATCTCGCTCTCGGTGCCCTCGATGGTGCAGATGCGCACCTTGGCCGAGTACGGATTCTTGCTGAGCATCACATTGGCCAGGGTCTTGGACTTGATCTGATTGATGAACATGCGCTTGCGGCCGTACAGCTGGCCGATCAGACTAATGGGGAAGAGGAACTCGTAGCTGGTCTTGGCCCGTGTCGCCTCCGAGCGCGGCAGGCTGGATCCCTTGCCAGAGTCTCCAGACTGGACGCTGCAAATGCTCAGCGAGGGACTGGCCGCGTCCACGTTACGCTTCTGATTTGTGTTTCCGTTGCTGTCCACGTCCAGTTCGGTCTGCTGCTGCTCCTCCACCTGCTCCTTCTTCAGGGGCTGCTGTTCCTCCTTCTTCTTGGGCGTCTCTTGGGCCTTCCCGGCCACCTCGGCTTTGGGCTCACAGTTGTTGTTCTGTTCGCACTCCTGCTGACTGCCGTTGGCGTTGCCGTTCGGGGCGGTGTTGTAGTTGGTGTCCAGGAACGAGTTCTCCGGCGAAATCTTGGGGGTGCGCGTGGCCTTGATCACCACCGGCTCCACGGTCTTGCTGTTGGTCTTGCGCTTATGGAACGACACCCGGTTGTTGATCGAGTCGGGAAGGTCGCGCGGCGAGGACAGATTCTCAAAGTCCTCGTCGATGGAGCAGAGCTTCTTGTGCTCGGCGTCCTGGATCTTGGACTTGAGCATCTCGGAGTCTATCTGCTGCTGGTGCTTGCCCGGCGAGGTGCGTCCGTTGCTCTGGATCTTGATGGGCGCCGACTTGCCGTACAGCATCGTGTTGGGACTCTCCCGCTCGTCACTGCCGCTGCCGCTGCCACTGCCACCGCTGCCGATACTTCCATTTCCGTTGGCTATGGTTCCGTTAATGTTCATCGACTTGCTGGCGGACTGCGGCAGCTTTCCGTTCTGGAGGACACCGTTGGGCTTGCGCGGCTCGGCGACCGTCTCCTCGACGGGTGAGGCCTGGGCGAAGGGGCTTGTGTCCTCGTCATCGGGCTTGTCTAAACGATTTTTATTTCTACGCCGAAACCAAAAGACGCCGAGTATAAATGCTACACCGGGCAGTGACAGGTAGAGTAGAGGACGACCGGATACCATTTTCGCTGAATATTGAAGGATCTGCAATGGAATAAATGGGGAATTTTTATTCTCTAATAATCTGCAATATATTTTAAAGAATATTATCCCTACTCCGAGGACTGTCGAGAGTTTGGAGACAAAAGTCAAGGCTTGTTTTGGAGAGAAAACTAGACTTTTAGGCTCTAATTTCAATCGTAGATCAATGTGCATGTAGATCTGCTGATAGGATCTTGGGGATTATATATTTTGTTTATAATTTGTTATCAAGAGACAGCGACTTGCAATCACAGTTCATAAACAATTATTCAAAGCGCTTGTCATGGGCAGTGATAAGGTTATATTAACCAAATACCGCTAATAATAGAGGTTTTTGGGTGAAAGGGAATTTTTTTTTTGAATTGTTTTCGGGTTTTGGGCATCACGAGACCCTCCGTTCATGCGCTCATTACCCAGCATAGGTATAGGTGTGTGTGTGTGTGTGTGTGTGTGTGTGTTCTTTGGCTCTTTGGCTTTTTCCTTTACGATTTCTGAACTTTTGCGTATTTATAGAATTAAATAAAAATACGTAAATATAGAAAAACAAAAATGTCGAGCCATACACCACCAAGAAGAGCCAACAAATTTGAATGCCACGCGGAAGCGAGAAGAGAGCGACAGCGAGAGAGAGAGCTTCGATCGAGTGGAGAGGAGATCGAGAGCGCCTGCGCCTCAAGAGAGCTCTCAAGTGAGAGAGTGAGAAAGCTAAGAACAAACCGTTACGTTTGGCCAAAAAGCAAAACGCCAAAAGTTACGAAATCATTACAAAACAAAACTAAAGTTATGAAGACACTCTTCTGCTGAAGAAGACATTCTTTCTTTACCTCTTCGATTTATCGATCTCGAATTCTATTAATCGTATTTTTTTTCGTTCGTTGGGGTTTTTTTTTTTCACAATATCTTTAAGGGTTTTGTTTTTTTTCTTTTTTTTTCTTGTTTATTTGGAAATATTTTTGAATGTGAATGTCTTTGAAACTAGTTTCTGGTTTTTTTTTTTATTTGTTTTTTTTTTATTCGATTTCGTTTATTTTGCTTTGGCTTTGAATTCGAAATGCCGGCGAAATGGATCGATCGATCGTGAGGTTTTCAAAATATGTATCGACTGCTCGGTTTACAAAGGGAAACTACTTTGCCGCCACATCTAATTGCCATTTCTTCAGACATTTTTTCGCAGCTTCTGCTTCTCTCGTCACTCCACTTTCCACCCCTCCCCCACCTGCCCCTTTTCAAAATGCAACAAATTCGAGAAGCTGCGTGGTGGCAAAAGTTTTTTTTTAGCGCCCTCCCCCCCTATGCCACCCACCACCCACACACACCGAAATGAGAAGAGAGAACACGAAACAAGTGATGGGGGAGGAGCTCATTAGAACAAAGAAATCCATCCACACACACACACTGAGATCTATGGCGCTGCATCGAAATTCGAAATTATTACAAAAGCATGGGGTCCCAAAGGTCCTCGGCTACTTAGTTGATAAGGTCTGGGGATCATTCCAACCAGCGGCTACACTGGAAAAAATCCGAGCTTAACAAACAAACTTTGGAATATTGTTTCCCCGAGAGACAAGATCGGTTATCAGGTAATTAGAAGAAACCCCAAAGCGTTTCTCCAGGTGTAACTGAGAAGGGGGGGTGTGATGGGCTGGGGGAGGGGAGAGGTGTCATAAAACGGCCATGGTAGGGCCCCAATGCCAGACAGCTGTGGTGTTTCCTAATCATGGATCGTGAAACCGGGTGACGGGAATTTTTTCACCAGTGGGCTTGTTTTTTTTTTTTATTCATACTCCATAGACGTCGTCGTAAGCTTGTTTATACAAAGTATATATTTATGCGTGGTCATGTCTGTGCGTGTCTGTCTGTGTGTGGGCAAACAAACATGTTTAGGCATGTTTTTTTTCGGTGACTTTGAACTTGCATTGTTTTTGTTATTGTTGCCTGTTGCCACAAACTTGCTTCTCCATGAATATGTAAAGGGTTGGAAGGGGGTGGGAGGGGGAATTCAATTTTGAAATTCCCTTGGCGGCGTTATCACCAAAGCCACAGAGAGCAGCGAGAGCACAAGAGCAGGAAGCATGCGGTGAGCATTGAGCGAGCAAATGAGAGCATCATCAGCAACAGCAACAACAAAACAACCAGGTGCAACAACAACAACAAAAGTAAGAAGAAGAAGAAGGAGACGGAGAACAGGAGCAACAAAAACATTGCCAGCTAGCCGAAATTCTCAGTTTTTATAATCTTGGCAACGTGGTTTCCGATCATATGGTCGCTAGCTAAATCGGTGGAGCGGGTTGTATAATCGGAGGTATTTATATGCACTGCATATATGTATGTACATATATATATCTATTGTTGTTTGGCGTTATAATGGGAGTGGCACATGGCTCCTTTCCACGATACACACATGTAGTTATGCTCTCCTTTTGCGCCTTCTTGTTTTTTTTTGTAATTTCTTTCTTATTTTTATTATTTTGTTTGGAGCGATAACACAATGCCGATGGATTGGGTGAAAGCTGTAGGAATAATAATAATAATAATAAAGACAAAAAAAAAAAACATTTCTTCTTGTGTGACTCACAGAAACCATAGATATATGCGTATGTATATGCAGCAGCTATGCTATCATTGTGTAATACTGCTCCCGATTTCCTACCGATTCTCCGGAACGGCAAGACCAACAACAACAACAAGTAGGATAAACACTCAAACAAAAAGTTATGAAAAAAAAAAAAAAAACGGTGGGTAGGGCGGGGGGACTGGCGTTTTGTCGCAGGATAACTTGTGGAACAGCCACAATGTTATTCATATAAAGGAGCCGACGTATTTGTAGTTTTTGTTTTGGCCACACGCTTTGTGCTTTTTGGTTTCTCCACCTTCGCCTCTGCCTCCGCCTCCGCGGCTGGCCGCTGCTGCTTTGTACTAGGTTATGTTCCGCGTGTTTCGTCTTACCTTTTGGAACCGCTTTGGTAACTTATTATGCTGCTTGTTTTGTTTATTTTTCAAATACGTGTGGCTCAGTGTTCTTTTGCGTAACGTTTTTCACTTTTTTCACCGCTTTTCGCCGCTTAAATTACGAAAAATTGACTCCACGACTAAAACACGTGTCTACGTTCCACCTTTATTTTACGTTATTTTACGTTACATGGCCGGCGTTCCCAGTGTTGCCACCACTGCCACGTTTGCGCTGTTTTTGATTTTGCGCGATACAGAGTTGCGTTTTTCCTTGATAAATAAGTCCAAAAAATATTGGCTTGCTGTCTATGGTGTTGCAAACGATAAACGAATATGTTTTTAAGACCCTAATTGCGCTTCAACACACAAAAACCAAATTATAAACTAGACCAGGGATGTCGAACATCAGGGATGACTTGATAACTATCGATAGGGTATTTTATATGAAATTCATAATTTTTACATAAAACACAAAGTTAATTAATAAATCAAATAAACTTGTGAATATTTCATAAAATATTTCTTAATTAAGGCTTAAAATCTTAATAAAACCATTGCAAGTATCGTAGGATTAACTATCGGATGATAATGTACAACAATCGATAGCTATAGGATTTACATTTTTAAATTATTTTTCTTTTAAAATATTGTATAAAATAAAATAATAAATAGCGTATAATTATAACTAATAGAAAACTATTTAGTTGACCTTTATAACCTACACAAAAAAAGTAAACAAAAATAAAGTATTTTTTACATTTTAAAATAATATCAGGTTTAGATGGAATATTTTAAATATTTGTGAAATTGTTCGGTTTTGTTAAACAAAACAGACTAATATTTTTAATTGAGATTCAAAATTGATCAATTCCGTGTTTTTTGGTTATTTTAACTTTTAAAAATTATATGTTTCCGTGAAGATGAGCTCCAAACCCCGAATCAGTATTTTCCGTTAATACTATAGGATTCGAATTTTTAAAATATTTTTCTATTAAAATATTGCATAAAATAAAATAGTAAGAACCATTATTGTGTAAGAAACAAAATTCAATTTAGATAAACTTTGGCTATTTTAAGTTTTAAATATTATGTTTCAGTTAAGATGAGCCCCAAGCCGCGTATCAGTATTTTCCGTTACATGGTCACTCCACCACAACCCCCAATTGGCCCCACACTCCGCCCCCCACTTAGTGTACATAACAAACGGACTTAATTGGCAATTGGCTAGCGAGTTAAATGTGCGCGGCAGGCAGTCCCATCGTCAGTGCACTCCTCAGGCAGAATGTGCTCCTGCGAGGCGTTAGCGCCATCCGAGGATCCACATCGGTGGTCAGGGCCAGGTCCAAATCAAAATCCCACTGGCAGTCCCGCTCTTTTTCATCGGACGCTGGAGCGGCCGTTACAGGGGCTTCCGCTTCCGCTCCAGATGCTTCCCATCCCGCTCAGATCTCGCACCCGAAAACAGTGAGTGATTTCCAAGAGCTCTACCAAGCCACCAAAAAGAAGTTCCAATGTAAGCCTCAACCAGTCGCAGGCATATGCATATGCGTAGTACGTGTGCACATTCTATTAATATCCGAACGTCAACTAGTCGTCCCATTTCACGCCCACATTCTCCCGTCCTCTGACATTTTCAGCCAAGAAACTGCCCGTCGATGTTCATCCGGACGCGGTGTTCGCCTGCAACGAACTGGACCTGAGCGAGGTGCAGGTGTATGGCTTCGATTATGACTACACGCTGGCCTGCTACAAGCCCGAGCTGGAGGGTCTGCTGTACAGCCTGGCACGCGAGATGCTGGTGAAGCGGTTCCGCTACCCGGAGGAAATCCTGGAACTGGACTACGAGCCGAACTTTGCTGTCCGTGGCCTGCACTACGATGTGGAGAAGGGACTGCTCGTCAAGCTGGACAGCTTCCTGCAGCTGCAGCTGGGCTCGGTATATCGCGGACGTACCAAAGTGGAGGCGGACGAGGTGCTGAAGCTCTACCACAACCGATTGCTGCCCATTGCCTATGTCGAGGGCCCCAATAACAGCTACCGAGTTCGTATCTTATCTCGCCCCGAATATCAATCACTGATTTATGATCTGCTTCCATTCCACTGTATCGTTTATAGCACAACACCAACTCGAAAATGGTTCAGCTGGCCGACCTGTTTTCCGTACCTGAAATGTGCCTCTTGTGCAATGTAATCGAATATTTCGAGCGTAATCGCATCGACTACAATCCAGAGATTGTTTTCCATGACACCAGGACAGCCATGGGCTCCTGCCATCCCATAATGCACGGCAAGGTGATGTTGAACACCGAAAAGTATATCGAACGCAATCCAAAGCTGGTCAAGTATTTCGAAAAGCTTCAGCAAGCTGGCAAGAATCTCTTTCTGGTCACAAATAGTCCTTACTCCTTTGTGTAAGTGTCCTTTCTAATGACACTCTTAAGGATACAATCTAATGTTAATTTTGTTTTTTGATTTTTGTAGAAACTGTGGCATGTCCTGGCTGGTGGGTCCCCATTGGAGGGAGTTCTTTGATGTGGTCATTGTTCAGGCCCGCAAGCCCAAGTTCTTCACAGACGAATCTCGACCCATACGTCTCTTTGATGAACGTACTCAGTCCCATTTGTGGGATAGAGTCTTTAAGCTAGAAAAGGGAAAAATATACTACGAGGTCAGGAGAGGAAATGCTTTCTTTTTGTTGCTTTTTTTTTTTATTGATTTTTGAATATCCTTCAGGGTTCTGTGCGACAGCTGCAGGAGCTTAAAGGATGGCGCGGTCATTCCGTGCTCTACTTTGGTGATCATCCCTACAGCGATTTGGCGGATGTCACCCTGAAGCACAGTTGGCGTACAGGAGCCATTATAAGCGAACTGGCGGTAAGAGACTCTTTGAAATATCTAAGGATTCCCTCCTAAATCATATTGTATAAATTTTTAGCACGAAATCCAAACCCTGAACCGTGTGGACTTCAAAATGAGCGCCAATTGGCTGCAGATGCTGACCCAACTCATCGAGGAGACCCAGGACGATGAGAGCGATGCGGCCCAAGCTTGCCTCCGAGATTGGATGGACGAGCGGGATCAGTTGCGGTATGAAACGTTCAAATATGTTGCATTCCTTTATTAATAGGCATTTTCTATTAATCTTCTTGCAGTAACAAAACCAAAAACGTGTTCAATGAGCAATTTGGCAGCGTTTTTCGCACCTATCACAATCCCACGTACTTCTCGAGACGACTATTTCGCTTTGCCGACATCTATACCAGCGACATTACGAACCTGCTCAAGTTCTCCACCACCCACACATTTTATCCCCGACGGGGCGTGATGCCCCACGAATACGCCTCCCACTTTATTTAAATGGACGCCCATTTAGGAAGAAGCTCAGATTAGTTTTAAGTAAAAAAGTGCCAGTGTTGATTGCTTGTAGCTCGAAACTAGTGAATTTATAGCCTGTATATCGTTATTTACATTGTTGCTCAATAAAATCGTTGTAATAGTTCAAGAAAGTCACTTTTCTAGTCTTTGGAACTCGTATTTTTCGAAATGGCAGGTTATTTATTATGAATAATTTGATAATTTTTTATAATTATCAACTGTTTGTGGTCTTCTAATCATATTTATGCAATCTCTTTTAAAGTGCTGTGCAAATAATTAACAAATTAAACAAATCCGAAGCTGAAATTGAGTTTTATTTGAATTTATATTGAAATTTATCAAAAAAATTGAATTCTATAGGAAGAAAACTTAAAAATTTATCACAAATGTAACACGATTTCTAAAAAAAAGTTAAAAGTAATTTTTTCTGATCAAAAATATCTATATAATTCATTTTTTCAACGATTAATAAATGGCGCCAAAAAAAATACCACATATGTAAAAACTTAAAAAGTTTAGTTCACAGACTTCCTATAGCCTAACGCTTATAAAATCTCTTACTTAATTAAAAAATAACGTTCATTTTAATATAAATTAACAAACATAAAATAAAAAAAATACTAAAAAACACAAACTATCGACACTATCGATATGAATAAGGTGGCAACTCTATTCGAAAAGTAAGACCAGCTATCGTTTAGATTGAGCGATATTTAATCGCAGCCCTGGTTCTGTTTTTTGTGCCATTAACTCGCAAACCGAGCTGGTCTCTTTCTTTTTAACCTCACGACTTTGCAAGGTATGTACGCTCCACGTGGATCTCCTCCAATTTATTAAAAAATACAATTAAATAGTCAAAAATAAGGCGGAAACCTTATTGCCATTGTCAGCAGTCATTGATTTGTGCGTTTTGTGAAAATTTCCACTCGCGGAAACCAAAAATATAGTTATCGCAATTTTAGTTGTCAAATCAATGTACGCATGAAAATGGCGACGCAAGTGGAACTTTTGGATTGGCAAACTTATTAATTTGCATTATGTTTGACCTTACAGAGACAATGGCGGTGCGTTACGAGCTGTGCATCGGCCTCAACAAGGGCCACAAGACCACCAAGGTCAAGAACGTTAAATACACCGGTGACAAGAAAGTCAAGGGTTTGAGGGGTTCCCGCTTGAAGAACATCCAGACCCGCCACACCAAGTTCATGCGCGATCTTGTGCGTGAGGTGGTGGGCCATGCTCCCTACGAGAAGCGCACCATGGAGTTGTTGAAGGTGTCCAAGGATAAGCGCGCTCTCAAGTTCCTGAAGCTCCGCTTAAGCACACACATCCGTGCCAAGAGGAAGCGTGAAGAGCTGTCCAACATCCTCACCCAGCTGAGGAAGGCCCAGACCCACGCCAAGTAAAAGGATTCGCAGTTCGCAAGATGATGCACGATGACAAACATCGATTGTGTCGCGCGTCCAATGTTCCGGCATTGCGTGCCGCCTATTTTTTTCTGTTTTTGTGCATAATTAATATCCAAACTTACTTGGGAATGAGTCAAAGCATCCCAGAATTAAACAAAAAAAACATTTAAAAAACCCTTAAAGAACATGTGTTTATTTTTTTCAAGTGTAGAGCAACGGTTGAAATGTTGCCAGTGCTGTAAATGGCATAAATATTGTTTCAGAAAGTCCAGAAATATGTGAAAATTCTGAAGTTAAGAAAGGAAGTCCGTGGATTCATTTCTAGACCAAGCTGGTAGCTTCCATGCCATGTTTTTTTAAAGAAAACATTCCTGGTTTCTAGCTAAATTTATTTATTAACTTTTGGCTTAAAACAATAAAGTTGCTACTGGAAACTGTCAAGACGCTTAAGAATAATGTCAAATGGATATGAAATGAAGAGGATCCGACGAATCTCCAACACTAAATGCCAAAAATAATCTCAAGTACATTCACTAACACACAGTGGCAGACACAATCTCGTTATGGGTGCGGGGATATGCTCGTAAAACAGTGGACGTGGATGCGCTTAAGGATATACACTTTAAAACACCGTAAAATGATGCCTTCCCTAAGACTAAGAAGTTAACCTATGCTAATGCTGATAAAGCCAGTTAGTCGGCTCAGGATTGTATGGGGCACGAGATCAGATTTCTTTTGGACTGCTGCTGTTGCTTTTCCGCTCTCTCTCTCCATTTCTCACAGATCCTCCGATAGGCTGGGCAGCGAGATCACCACTTCGCCCACTAGCTGCGCCTCATTGGGATCATTGGATACGAAGATTCTTTCGTATTCGCCGTTCGTGGGGTCCACGATCTCGAAACAGGTACCAATGACGGGCTTGGTATCCTCTAGCTGCGGCGACAGGATCTGTTGTGTGACCTCCAGACTCTCGATGCGAGTGGTCTCCAGGCGGTAGAAACCGTTCTCGTCCACCCGGTAGGTGAAGCGCTTGTGGCCTGACGGTAACCGGAAGCCGTGCTTCTTGATGAGGTGAGCGCTGAGGGATTTGCCGCTCTTGAAGAAACGCTCGCAGCAATGGCAGGCATACAGGATGGGATTGTTGCCGTGCACCTCCAGAAAGTGCTGGAGAAGATTCTTGTAAAAATAAAGACGTAGCTTGGTGTTTTCTTTAAACTTACCCGCCGCATTTGGGTGTAGGTGCGCACAGAGTACTCGCAGTCCGGGTGCTCGCACTGATGCACCGTCTTGGAGTGGACGATCTGGACGTGCTTGGCCAGATCCGACTCCCTGACACAGCGGGTATCGCACTCGCTGCACTTCAGGGGCTTGTCCTTCAGGTGGCGGTAGCGTATGTGGGTGGTCAGCGAGCCGGCGGAGCTGCAGGTCATGTCGCACATGGTGCACTTGTAGCAGTTGACATGGCGGACCACATGGCTCTTCAGCAGCTTCTTGGTGGCGAAGAACTTGAAGCACTGGGCGCACTGAAAGCTGTTGGCTGCGGAAGAGAAAGTACAGAAGTGTTAGTCTCTATGGATAAACCACGTATGCCCCACTCACTGTTGTTTTCCGGCTGGCGGCGCAGGTGGTCGAACAGGGTGGTCTTAGTGCGGAACAGTTCGCCACAGTGGAAGCAGGCCACCTGTTTCTTGTTCGAGTGGGTGCTGATGTGTTCGATGAGGCGGTACTTGTTGCCCATCTGCTTGAGGCACATGGTCCAGTTGCACTGTGTCTTGGGTCGTTCGTCCTCAGGCGTCTTCTGAATGTCATACTCGAACAAAGCATGCTTTACGATGTGATCCTGGAACTCTACAATGGACACAAACTCCCGTTCGCAGTCCGTCCAGCCGCACAGAAAATTCTGACCAAGATGGGGCAGTTTCTCGGCTTGGCGCGGGGGCGCCGTACAGGCGGGTATCTCCGGATGAAGGTCGCACTCTAGTTTGCCCTGGAGCAGCAGATGCATGTAGTAGCCATGATAGTACATGTGCCGTTCAAATTCTTCGAGACACAACGTCTGGTAATCGCACGTGTTCCAGATGCAACAGTGAATCGGCTCCACCTCCGGGTCCTCCTGGCCCACCTGGCGGGCATACTCCTCCAGGTGCTGGCCAATGTGTGTGTTCAGATTCCATTCCCCGCTGCAAATCTCCTGGCAACCATTCCATCCGCACATCAGCTGCATTTCGGCGGGCTTCTTTCGTTTGCTGGCATATGTGGGCGGTGTTGGGGGCTGGGGATTCATCATGGAGGTGTCCTTCAGTTAGCCCAATGTTCGTTTAATGGAAATCTGAAATCTTGGGCCAGATTTTGGGCGGTTTCTCTAGAAAATACACGGATTTGGTGGGAGCCTAAATTAGCGATGGCACAAGAACCGTCGAAGGTTTCCACATCGCGGGGTGGGTGCTGCGATATCTATCGATACCAGCATCTATTCCAAATATTATTCCAGGATCATAGGATTTATTACAGATTTTCTGGGGTTTATTTGTTATAAAAATAGTCTTTAAATACTGGAAAAACATTTAAAAGATTTACAAAAAACAGGACTTGACTTTCATTAATTTTTATCATCTTTTCACGAAAATAAAACGAATATTATTAAAACGAAAATCATATGAATATAAGTTTAATAAATAAAAATTTTCTTTTTTTTAAAAATATTTTTTAATAACTGATTATATTCACAAACTTGTTTCTTTTTAAGATTAAATAACCGCTTCATTTTAGTTTAGATTTTAGTTTTCAGACTTGAACTGGTTAGTTTTATTTACAGAATAATGTCTTCAATAATAATTTCCAAAATAAACTATGTATTCATTTATAAATGATAAATTAAAATAATATAATTTTTCTGCGAACTGATTTTTTAAATGTTTCAAAATATAGAAAAGTATAAAATTTTTCTAGTTTATAATAAACTAAAAATCTTGATAGAGTCCTTAAGAAATGTAGAATAAATAAAAGTAGAATTAGAATCGTTTCGAAGAGGATATTTATCCATTCTTATTTAAGATATAGTGTTTGATATTAAGCCTATGGATACTTTATGGAGGAGAGACACAGTTTCGGTATTCCTTTCGCTAATTCATATTTTACAAATACCGTTTCGTACCGCGGAAGCACAGCTGCCTGGCAAAGCTGGTAGATCCGATCCCGCCCTGCTATTCAATAAATATATTTATGCTTTATCCTTATAGTCCCGGCATCACGTAGGCAATGTTATCCAGTGTGGTGGCAAGATTCCTGCTTAGCTGGGCCTTGTTCTCCAGCCCAGGTATCTGGGTGGTCATACAGAGAAGTGGCCCCATCGAGCAGAGCAGGCTGTCCAAGAGCACGGACAAGCTGCCGGAGAGTGCCACATGACCGTTGTGCTTCTTCAGACGCTCCCCGATCACCGTTAGACTTTCCCCGAGGAGCTTCAGGTGTGCTGCCGCATCGATCACCTCGATGCTGGTTGGTGACGCCGCCGCCGCTGATGTCTCCAGCTGATGGGAGCTCTGGCTGAGCGTCTCAGTCTCGCTAACTGCTTGAGTTGTCCTGCCACTACGTGTGTTGATGCGCCTTGTGGCCTGTGAGGTACTCGATTCTAGAGCGGCGGCCGAAGCAGCCGATTGCTGCCGATCGGCGGCCAGTTTCTTGGTGCGGCTTGTCGTCGCTCTGTTCTGGAAGCTCGACTCCTGTTGGACTCCTGAGCCAGTCGGGTTAGGACTGCCGTTGCTTGCCATCTGGGTGGGGATAGTTGGGCTAGATGGATCCCGCGACTTGGCCCTTGTAGCCTGCATTTTGGCCTTGCGCTTCCAGGCGTTCTTCTCCCGGTTGGAGACGTTTGCCCACATCTCACCGAGCTTTCTGGCCACATTGGAGAAGTCTACCAGAGATTTGGATGGTATGTTATATGATTTTATTGAAATTTGTCAAGCTTCAAGCTTACCCAAGTCCTGCAGATCCTTTTTTCGCACCTCCCTGGCCCACAAGCTGTAGGCGGTGTAGCGCTGCTTGACCTTCTCCTTATCTTTCCCGCCAGGCGACCTTGCGTCCTTCACAGGACGTCGTCTGTTGGCGCTTGCCACCTTTTCGCGCATGTAGAGACTTTGGCGCACCGGGGACTCCTGGTTAGTGGCCTCCGCCTCCACACCGTCGACCAGGTCCTGCACCAGGTTGTCCATCTCGTCATCGGAGTTTAGAATAGCTGCGGTCGTTAGGAGAGGAGCCTCCGACTCTGAGACATTGGGTTCTTCGAAAATTCCCATCTCCTGATCGCTGGGTTCGAGGTCTCTCATGGCATTTGATGGCCGACCACGACCCGGATATCTGGACGGTTGCCGACCGGTGCTCTGGCGCCGTGTCCGCTTCTCGATCTCCTCGGGCGACTCGAAGTCCAGCAGTTTGGAGGACTTTTTGCGTACGCGACCGCTGCGCGAAACGCCCGTCACCTGAAAGTCTAATAAGAATTCGTTTCGGTTACCCTGGGATCCTGCATTGAGCTGTTTTTGGAACTCACCCTTGGCCACCTGGTTTGAGGTGGGGGACTCCATGTTGGGATCGCGCTGTGGAAGCTGGGGATTCGACGGTGGTTTCGATAGATTCTAGATTCGGAGCTATTACAACAACGACGCAAATGGGGACGCAGCAAACAGCTGTTTGGTGTGGCCAGGTGCTGCAAATTTCGCAACTTTCCCGTCACTTCTTAAGACAGTTATAAGCTTTGCTTTTTTTTAATGTAAATTTAAATATTTTGCAAGTAAAAATGATTTGGATAATATAGTAATTTTACCTTAAAATATTTTAGTTTTTATTTTAAAGAAAAAGAGCTTCCAAAGTCCTAGCCTTCGATACAAATAATTTTCTTGAAGTAATTAATCATTTAAAAATTCAAGAGGTTTTGCTTACTAATTAAATAAATATTTTATTTTTGACAGATCAATAGTAATTTGTCATTAAATTAAAAATTTTCAACACTATCGCATATTATATTCCAACATTCCATTCTCCGAAAGGTGCTGGTCACACTGCCATTACTGTTTGTTTTGCCGTGTTGTTGTTTTTATTGTAGGCGGCCTTTGGTTTATTGATTTCAACCCGCCAGATTGCCGAACGCTGAATGCCGACTGGCACGCGATATGAGTCGCCGGCCCCCAACCCAAGGACAACCACCCAGCCATTTATCAAGTTGAGTCGTCGCGCCGCATTTGGCGACCCGCTCCTAACGCCTTCCCCAGGCTGGCGACCAAAACACCGCCTGGAATTCAAATCCAAACGGCCCGCACAAACATTCGCTGGGCGTCTGTCAACCACAGTGCTTGTTTATCTGCAAAATTATCGCGAAATAATGTCCGTGGGTCGAGGCGTGGGAAATTCGGCCAACTGTGACCATGACGAGCTGGGAGAAGCCGCTGGAATCTCCGCCAGCGAAACGGACAACGCCACCGCCCTGGAGCTGCAGTCCAACAAACGCATCCTGTACTTCAGTGACGGTGTAATGGAGGAGATGTCCTCCGAGAGCGAGGACGAGCGGGAGCGGAACGGCGATGAGCCGGACAAGTGCTATGCCGTCCAGTTGGACGAGGTGCGTCATCTGAATTCCACACCAAACAGTAGACCAGACCCCCCCTAATGAGTCATTGTTTCCTTCCGGTTTCAGCGCGATATGGCACTGGGACCACGCCTACGTTACAAGGCCAGCCGGATGGGTAACCGATTTCTGGCCGGCATCGACTATGTGGGCGGCGGCCTTGCCTCCCTGTTGGGCATCACGAACAACCATAAATACGCCAGCGAGTTGGAGCACTACCAGCGCACCAAGGAGGAGGCGGCCGCCGAGGACCTTGACAATTGGCTAACGACGCCGCCAAACCGCAACAACAACAACAATAACAACGGCCAGAATGAAACCATCGTTCTATGTGGCCCCACACGCAGTGAGGCGACCTTGCCACCCAGCCGACAATGAGGGCTGGTGGGTGGGTGGTGGCGTGTGGTAGTTAGGTGGCAGGTGGTAGACAGGTGGTTTTGTTATATTCCTGTTGCCTCAAGACGGAGAAATGCTCATAGAGTTAGGCGGCCGACAAACATATGAGACTTTACTTGGAAAAGCAAGATCTTAACTTTCGATACTTTATTCGCTAGCAAATAAGTTACATTTAATAATTAAAAAAAAAGAAATACACGTACGAAATACATATATGTTTGCGTTTGTTAGTTGGACACACGTTTTAGTTTTAAAATTAAGATTAAGACCATCAAAAGACATTGATTTTCGACTCGAATGAAGTCCCTAAAGCTAATGGCACACTGAATACAATAGTAGGCATTACGGCTAGGATTGCAATTGCGTTTTCTTTCTCAAGTTAAGTACACTTTAAGATTGTTTTTCGGTTAATAATTAAGACAGGCTAGAAAAGTTGGCAAAGGCTCTAGGGGGAGGGGAGGACTGGGGCTCCTTAAAGAAATGATTATGCGTATCACAGTATTTGGTTGCTGCGTATTACTCTGTCGTATTCTCTCGAAAAATATATATATTCTATTATAGTATATATGGTAAGATATCGAAAAAATGCTATACGCAATATAGGGCAAGAGCGATTATCGGATTTGGTTACACCAAAACGGCTAAAAAGGCAACGCAAGGGCAACTAATTAGGAGCAAACATTAAGTACACACGAAAATACAATACGATCTGGGCCATTGCGGCTCCGCTTACAATTACAATTAGTCTGGAGGGGGGGTGGGAGGGGGCACTTCCTGGGATGGAACTTTCTAGCTAACACAATTACATAGATGGGTTATATACACAGTACATAGATGGGTTTTTGCAGGTTCTCCCTCTGGATAGCCACCCTAGTGGTTAGTAAGTACAGTACTCGATCGTGGCTGACTTGGGCGCAGCACAGCTGCTGCAGGAACATTGACTGGTGACTGGCTGGAGCCGGAGCTCCTTCAGTTGCTTGGAAATGACCCAACCTAGAGCAGCGTCTCGTCGCCGTAGTGCTGCAAGTGGGGATAATACTTCTGGGAGCTGTAGCTACCGGGTGGATAGTACAGGCGATGCGAGGACGATGACTGGTGTGGGTGGTGGTGCTGCTGGTGATGCGGGTGGTGGTGATGGTGATGATGGTGCGACTGGGTGTGATACGGATTGGGTAGATGGAGATGCTGCTGCTGCTGTGGCTGGTTGTGGTGGTGGGTGCTCCGGCCCAGGGAGTAGTTGGACATCTGGTTCAGGGAGATGGATCCAGCTCCCGGGGAACTTTTCAGCTTGTAGGGACTCGGGGGCATGGGAGCACTGGCCATGGAGGGGCGCACTGAATGATACGACACTACTGTGCTGTTACAGGCTGCATGCGATCCTCGCGAGCTGCTGTGGCCATCTAGGGCTGCGCCCACGGAGCTAGTGCCTCCCATGGCTGAGCCTGGCTTCGTCCGGCCGTTGCCCACCTGGCGCTTGTAAAGCGTCGAGATGCTGGGCCCCAGGACCCAAGCGAAGCAGCAAATGCCCAGCATTAGCTCCATGAAGGCGCGCACCAGAAACGGCCACAGCGGTGTGCCACCCGTATCGCCCGATCCCAGCCAGACATCGATGTTGGCAAACTCGTAAATGACCGCCAGCAGGAGGAGCGCGCAGGCCAGGCCGTAGATGAACAGGAAGATCCCTATGCCCGAGCTGCTGTGGGCACTCAGTTGCTGGAGCTGCTGCTGGAGAGTCAACGTGTTGCTGTTCCTCAGTATCTCCTTGGTGCGGCAGTGGACCAAGTACCCGGATATAAGGTTCATGGATCCAAAGATCCAGTAGCAGAAGACTGGTGTGGCCACCAGCACCTGCAGAGCCTTATCCGACTGGTTGCCCACAAAACAGGCACCTAAAATGGCAACAAAAACCTGAGGTTTCCGAAGGACATCTAGACTATAGCGATTCTTACCCAGCAGCTCATCAGCGTCCACGTAGCGGAAGACCAACACAGCTGCCGTTTGGAAGGCGGGCAGTCCCCAGGCCACAAAGCACACAAAGTTGTTCTGCGCCAGTTCCTGCTGGGCGTTCTTGGCGGCGCTGCTCCTTTTGGCGGGCGAGGGTATGGCCACATGGCCCTTGGAGTCGGGACTGTGCCGGCGGATGTCCCGGTGCCAGCCCAGGCAGAGCACTGCCCACCTAGGTAACGAACAAGATTGTCAATAAGATTCCACCTCCAACTACAAGCCAGAAATCTCACCAGGCACAGGCTGCCATGCCAAAGTAGTAGCGCATTAGGAAGACACTCGCACAGGAGGCGTTCGAGAGTCCATCGACCGTGAGCAGGGAGTCGTTGGGCGCCTGGGGATCCGTGCCGCAAGCCGTGGCCGTCCTGCCCACCACAAAACGCACCGTCCAGCCCAGCGTGACCATGTTGTGGCACCAGATGAGCGGCGACAGCAAACGAGACCACCGAGTGCCATCGCTGGCCACGAGACAGACGGTGGATACGAGGGCCAGGCCGAGGGCAGCATACGCCCAGGTGGAGACCCAAATCTCGGCCAGGTGCTTCTCCGATGGGGTGAACAGGATGTCCGCCTCGCAGAGCGGAGCACACCGGCCGGACCGAGGCAGCTTCACGTACAAATGGGACTTGGCCAGGCCGGAGCAATCGCCCATTCCCATTCCCATGCCTCCCACCATGCCACCTTCAGGTGGGTCCTGCTCCTGCTGCGGCTGGTGCATCTCCCCGGGGCCCTCCATGCACATGGTCTCGTGGTTGTTCTCCTTGGGGAAGCGCATGCAGTCGAGGGCCGGTGGCCAGGGAAAGCCAAAGCCCTGGAGTACAGGATGGCAGCGTAGCTGCACGGACTCGCACAGGCTGCGACAGGGACCGATGGCGTGGACAGGCGCCTTGGGCGTGCACATGGGCACGTAGGCGGCGCACAGGAAGAGCTTCAGCTGGGAGCTGCAGTCGTACTCGATCAGCGGGGTAAAGGACTGCAGGGTGATCTCCACGTCCGTCTGCATGTCGTGGCCCACCAGATTGGGCATGGAGGTCTCGTTGTAGCCGATCTTCCGGCACATCTCGATCCGTATAGTCTCGCACTGGCGGAAGGGTGGAATTTCTGGCGGAGAACTGGAACTCGGATGGGATCCGCTGACCAAAATGGGAAGTACCACAACCATCACCAGGAACTTTGGCAGGTGCGACTTTTGGTCGCTTCTGTGTTTAAGGGGGCGTGGCATCTTGGGTCCCCAGCGTCCCAGCATTATGCAGATCTCTGGTTTGGAATCTGAAATCTGGAAAATTGGTAACCTGTTCCAGGTTCTTCGTCTGCTCTCTTTCTCACCTGCAGGCTCGTTAGGCCACCTCTCTTTCGCTCCCTTGTCAACGCTCGTTAACTACCTTTGCGTCGTTCTTGTTATCGCTTCTCCTTCTCCCACTCCGTTCGCCTTCTCGTGCCCCTCTGTGTTGGCTGGGCTCCCTCACGGCCCCCCCGCCCCTTTTTTTGGGTGAACGGGTTTTTTTTTATTCAATTTTTCGGTGCTTTGCAGCCAACAGCGGAAAATTCCATTATTATATTGCACATAAACTTGGCTCTTTTCGCACTTTTCACCGGCCGAAAATGATCTTCCGCTATTTAGAATATTATTTACGATCGTTATAGGTGCGATTTTAAATTAGTTCGTAATTCATTATTGGAACATTCTTTTTTCGTTGTTTGTTTACGCGTAAGTGTGACCGGCTGCGGCTGCGCCAAGAAATACCCTTTATTATTCTGCTTATCGATCTTTGTTATCGATAACAGCTTAATTCCAACTGGAATACATGGAAAGTGCTAGTTTCGTTTAAAAACATTTTTAAAATTTGGGTTTCAAGGTGTTTAAATGTTTATAGTGTGTGTAATGATCATGTGCAATAGTGGATCGATGTAGTTAAAGTGTTAAAAGTCAAAAAGTCGACGGTCTGATGAGAATCTTGCTTAAAAACTCAACGTAGTGGAAGGAGAACTAGTTTGGCAATTAAAACAACTGTGCTTAAAAATAAAATTATGTGTGTAAAGTCCGATAAGTAGCAAAGTTAGCTAAGCCAACACATCTCATTAAGTTGCAATTATTTTAATTTTAAATAAATGATCGCTTGGAAACTATTACGTGCCGTCTAACGGTCAAGAATTGTCAGCGCCCTCTGGCGGCAATGTTGAGCGCTCCTGGCGGACCCGGTGGAAAAAAAAGCTTAAAGCCCAGTTTGGCGCGAAAGGCAAGTATGTGAGCTTTTATTTTTAAATATTAATTAAAATTAAAAGAATAGTTAAATATCCGGAAATGGCAAAGAATACAAATAATTAAAAGACAAAAGGAAATTAAATATTTTGAATGGTTGGCAGCAACAGCTTTTTCTCATTATTTGCCTCTGGTCTTGAAATACTTTCGTTGTCGCTTGCATTCCGTTATTTATGCGGTTCCATCAACCTCTCTACGCCTTTCTCTTTCACACACACACATGGACATACACGCGAAACAGAAGCCACGCCCATATTTGTGAGAGGGTTTCAACCCCAAAATAACAAAACAAAAAAAAAAAAACACACACACACGAGTCCTTTCTGGCTGCCTTATATGTATGCTGATGATATGTGGACACATGCGAGCGACAGGGAAAGGACGAATTAAAGAGAGAGAGAGAGAGAGATGGACCGAATCGGCAGGATATGTGTGGCTGTGTGTGTGTGCGGACGTTTATGTATTTTGCAGGACTCGCAGGACTTGCAAATCCTTATGTATGTGTATGTGTGGGTAGGTTTCGCCAATGCACGCACATGCGCACACACACATCTACATATGCGGCACATATGTGCTCGCAGGATACCAAACACACACTCACACACACATGTATGTACATATGTATGTATATCCCTGACTCCTGTGTCTCCCGGCTTTTTAGGAAACTCTTTCCTCGCAACTAATTACGAAAGCCAAATGAAAGTTTTCAGCTTTACATCAATTTACTAGCTTTGATAAAAAGATATAGAAAAAAATTGAAATAAAAAAAAAGGCGAAAACGACTCGAGAAACTCAAGTGCCATACGACATATTCCTTTGACGGCAAACTCGTCAAAAAAAAACTCATCATAAAACCAATTTCCCAAAGGATTCAGTCTTTCGGTATCCTTGCTAGACATCTTCCACCAGCACTTTCACTTTTGCGGACTGGATTTAGAACAATTCCTGCATTTTTTTATTTCACGCTCCTTAAATAAAGATCATATTCTTACTTACCCACATGCCTATACCTATATGGGGGTTCTATATATATATATTTATATATTCAGGAGGAGCTGCATTAAAAAAAAATAAAAGAAACCCAAAGAAGTCGCTTTCGAAAAAAAAGTAAAGCGCATCACAGCTAAGGACAGTGGAGCTTGGATATTTAAGGACACTTTGGGGGATTGTTTAAATATTTTTTAATATTTTTATAAAATATAATATATATCTTAATATAATTAGTTTTAATAAAAATAAGATAAAAGCTAGTAAGAGAAGCATTCCTACCAATTATGGTAGAACCTTTTGGGCTTTAAAACATTTTACTTTGCGACTCTATCTTGGCTGAAACTTAGAGGTAAAATTTTAAGAAAAAATTAAAATTACTTGGTTTTTTTTTTTTTTTATTTATTTAATTTAAATTTTAAAAGAAAGGTCCTTAAAAGTATAGCTTCTGCTGTTTGCAATGTCTGGCATTCCTTGTGCCGCTGCATTTAAGAAGGAAAAACCTGGTGAGCGTGAAAAAAATAAAAAAAAAAAACTGAGGAAAAACGAGGAAAAAGTGTGTGGACCAGTGACTAGGAGGAAAAGTCAGAGTAACCGTGGAGGAGGACGGGGGTGTCCTAGGACGACGCGTTGATGCACAAAAGCAGCATTTGCTGCTGCGTGTAAACTTGACTTTGAAATTTGCCTCATTTGCACTTGCCGTGCTGCATTTTCCATTTTCTTTTCTTTTTTTTCTCCTTCACCTGGCTTACTCCACTATGTATGCCAACAAAAAAAAATGCAATAAAAGGTATGTATATATATATTTTTAAATGTTATTCCTTGTGAACTGTTGCATTCGTGGCGTAAATATTTGCCCAAAAAAATACATATATATGTTTATATTTTTGGGAAGCCTTCAAGGATTAGTGGGACAAACTGGTTTGCTTGGGAATTCAGTAAAAAATGTAAATTTCAATCAACTCGTTAATGAAATTTACAAAAAAAACCGGTTGCAACAATTAGAGAATATGCATTACATTCTAACAATGCATTACATTCTAACAATGAAGGGAATACTTATGATGGGCCGCGATATTGTATCTAAAGGTCGTTGCTACCAGGTGCTAGCACAAATACATACAAATATCAGCTTAAAGGATATAGACATGTATAAGTATATACCTGTGCCAGCTTACACTTTTACCTTGCACTTGTCACATTTATTTTTCCCTTTTTTTCGCGCTTTTCATTTAATATGCAAGGTGTGGAGAAAAACAACAGCAAGAGGCTGTGCAGGTGCAGGGAAATTGGGGAAAAATCTCAACTGCAACTGGGGGAAAGCTGTTTTCACGGCCTTTTCTCTTTCGTTTTTTTGTTTATTTATTTAATGGCTTTAAGATTAAGTTTTTGGCTTAAAGAAAGGAAGAAAAATTTTAAAATAGGTTTGATCCTAGATTCTTTAAAGTGTTTATAGTCATATAGAGCTCATCCCCTGACCTCATTCGATAGTTGTTGGCATCGATTAATCATTTCAGCCGGCCCCTGGTCACCGGCCCCCTTCATAAATCATTTAAAAATTGTGAATTTTGAGGACGCGCCCATTTCGACGGCTCGCAAAACCACGGAAACCACTTTGCCGGATGGGCACGAACTGAGCGTACGCGTAACCTTTGCCACCGAAAAAAAAAAAAAAACAAAAAAAGGTCCGAGTCCGGTCCGAGTCCCAAGACTGACCGAGGGGCGGTATGAAAACATATATGCGAAAATCGGTATGTAAATTCGTTCACAGACATCTGGGAAAGTTGTCAACCCGATTTGCCGGCTTATTGTAGGTTCAGTGGTGTGGTTGCTACAATTTCTAAAAGGGGGCAGCTAAACTATATGAATATATGCTGCAGAGGATTCATAGAATCTCCCCTTGAAACCCATACCTCTGTGCCAGTTTTTCCCTCCCCGTTGAAGTCCTAGGAAGTCCTGGGATTGGTCTTTGATGAAATGGTGGACAGGGGTCACTTGCGGTATTAAATATTTTGAAGAGGGTCGCTGCTTTCGGCCAGCACAATTTCCGGCTTGATTTATATATATATATGTATATTAGATTTTCCAGAGGGTCGAAGTCGGGATCGGGTTAGGTTATAGGCTGTCACGCCTTGGGAGTCTCTGCGAAGGATTTCGGGGTTGGAGTGTCCTTCGGGTCAAATCCTTGGTTAATTAATTTGCCAGAAAGGAGAGTGGCACGGAGAGCAGAGCCTTTAAGGCTCAGGATTGATTCCTGATTTCTGATTTGCATTTATTACCCCGTCTTGTTGTTGGCATATCCTTTATGCCAGGTGGAGTTCACAATTCAGTGCGCAAGTACTCGATATGAAAATGATAGAAGGACGAGCTCCACGAGCTCCAGAAGCCCCCTTTATAAATTCCATCTGTGGCCGGGGTAAGGACATTTTATCGGGTCAGCCAAGCATGCAATGTGCTCTGGGAATCGCTATCAGAATCGCAGTCGGCCCAGGAGGTTAAAGCCCCCACTCCCTCCTACTACTACTCCATTCTATATGTATCATCTTTTTGTTGGATTTTTTGGATCCAATCTGCGTCTCCCTTCGACTTTGAACGCACATCAATCTGGGCATAATGGCCTCAGATAATAGTGTTTGTTTGTGTGCCAAGGTATGCGTATGCAAAATATATATATATACGAGTATATCGCTATATATACCATAAAATATATTCACAAAGTACACATCATGTCAGGGGGGTATGGATGGCTTAGGAGATTGGAGTGTGTGAGTTGTGATAGCGTGAGTTTCTTCAAAATATAAGAGACTTCTTAATATTCGTAATTATTGTTAGATATATTATTTAAATAAATATAATAATATTTTTCTTCAAGCCCCCGACCTCCCTATCGTGTCACGCTGCCATCTTCTAAGGACATGCTTGCCAGCAGGTGCGTGTGTGTGTGTGTGTCTATCCTGTCTATCTGTGAGCACTTTTCAATTTCCCAGCCAACGCAGCGTATACGCGATGGCAATCTGTTCCCTTTGCCTTACTTTTTTTTATATTTTTATTTTTTATTATTTTTATTTTTCTTTTTTTTTTTGGCCTTTGTATATTTTTTATATTTTATGCATGATTGTTATTGTGTGCAGTTTTGTCTAGAATAACGTTTTCTCGAGTTGATCTGAAGCGGCTCATGTGCCCCCTTCTTATCCTTACAGTTCTGCTCCGGTTTTCTTTTTTTTTTTGGCCACAATTACAGTATATGTATGTATGTATGTGTAGCGCTTATCCTGGACGAACTGATTGTACGCAACGTATTTTTTTTCATAAATATAAGCAGCGCCCATCTCATTTGCATATATTTTTTTGGTTTTTTGTTGCTGCTTTCATTGCGACCCGAGGCCACCGAAACCGGGGCAGATGTTTTAGCTCACGCCGCGAGCCGTAACCCGTGACCCGTAACCCGTAGCCCGTAACCTCTACCCTAGCCTCTAGG